CTAGACTGAAAGTGCGGCTGATTCAAACTTGAACTCTGCTCTCTTGCTTTCAACCCGGTGCCTTAATCACTGGATCCCCTTCATAGACTGCTATAAGGTCGCAGCCCCAGAAGAGCCCCTGATCTCCGCCTGCATCAATACAGAGAGGGCAACGAGGGAGCCGCCTGAATTGGTGACAGAGCCAGCATGATGCAGGTTGGGCGCAGGAGATGCTGGAAGTTGAAGTCCGGGAGGGTTTCTCCAGAGGCCTGGGAGCCAGAGGCCTAGTTTTTTTTTTTTTTTTTAAAAAGAAGTACTGCTTCTTTACTTCCAAACCTGGACTTTTCCATTCTTCCCTACCTTCTTTTCCCCTTTCTTCACATACCTTCTCTTTACAGCTACTCAGTCTTTTCACTTCAAGTCAAATAGAGCATCAGAAATTCAATGACCTACAATAGACTCATCCTTTGGGAATCTTTTACTCTCTACTTAAGAATCTACCAATGAGGATTGCATAGTGACAAAGAGCTCTAGAATGATGCTGCCTTCTCAGTGTATTTTTTTTAAGCCTTTGTAAACTTGCTACTAGTTGTTGGGCTTCAATTGCTTTCTGCTTTCTTTTAGTAATAGAAAGAGAAAAACATTTGTCAACTTTTAGGCTTGCTTCTTAGCTTAGCTTAGAGAAGTGGGAAGGGACCACAATGGCAATTGGTACTACTGATAACTATCACCCTGACCTTTATTCTAGGGCTGCCTAGTCAGATATAAGAGGCCTGGTGATGGGAACAAGAGGTCTTTACACAATCATTAAATACAATCATTAAACAAGCTATGCCTTAGTGCAACATTTGCCCTTGCTTTCCTGCAGATCTGAGATTGGGAGAGTACTCAAAGAAAGGCTTCTTTCAATTTGTCATGTTCCTAAAGTAAGCTTTGTTATAACTCATGAAACACCCAACTTAAAAGAACTTCTTGAAGAAATGAAACAAAAACTTAAAAGATATTTTTTTAGTTCCAGGCTTTTGATTTCTCAATGACTTTCAACAATGAATTCCAACACTTAAAAGCAAATAATCAGAAACAGATTTCCCGTAGTACAAGAAACAAGCACTTGTAAGGGACAAGGTGGGAGATAGTGCCAAACATGAAAGCCTATGTGATTGCAGTCACATTTCCTCCCTGACAATCATCTACAATCTTGACAAGAACTATTGAAAAATACATGGAAACAACACCTGCTGGTCATAGCAGGTGGTGTATCTAAAAACAATGCCCTACATTCAGTAATATATTTTATTTATATATTAAAAATTGTCCATTCAGGGACTAAAAAGATCCCAAAGTGCAAGCAATTCAGCATAAAAATACACACACACAATTTTTGTATGACTAGTTCCAACAAATATGAACATTAAAACTCACTATATGCCCACTCCAATAATTCAAGATTCGGTTTTTGAAATATTATAGCCAATTTTATTCAGTGGATGCTATACACATTTTCTTTAAAGGTAGTAAAATTAAATAAGAATCTTCATTGATAAGTAATTCCAACTGTATTCCATAATAAATATTGCTACAAATAGTCCTTAACAACCTTTTGTTCAGTGACTGACTGAAATTTCAGTGGTGCTGAACAAAGGGACTTACGACCTGTACATGAAATTATGGCTACTATAGTGTCCTTATTATCGTGTGAACAAAATTTAGGTGCTTGGCAATCTGTTTATAACCAACCACAGGGATTTTCTAGCACCTCCTGTCTATTTTTCCACCCATCCCACTTTGCTGGTCTCTTGTGCCTGCTATCCCCCATTTGGCTGGAATCCATAGGCCTTGGGCCTGCTTCTTGCCCCGCTAGGTCCACATTACCTCCCCCCCCCACCTCATATTTCACTTCAGTTTTCTGAAAATTGCTTCAGGAAAGAGAACTAAACAATCCACCACATGGACGTCCTTTATAGAAGTGGCATGGTGCCATCCCCAAAACGGGCACCACTTTAGAAGAGGACACAATTCTCAACTTGCATAGCTTCATTTAAAAAATTTTATAAGATGATTCATCTTTCTTCCCTTAACAGATAAAAGTTAAATGATTATCTAATTGCATAACCATCTGACAGGCTGATATTACTTAGCACCAAATGATTCATATCCTGATTCACATCATATAGGGTAATAAAAGAAGCTTGTGTAATCGAATATTTCATAACAGGTATTGATTAATATTTACCCAGCAAAGGAGTGGAACCTTTCTTAATATTCAGTCTAGAATTCAGAACTTTAAAGGTCTACATAATTCCATGAGAATTAATTTCCCAGGAAAAATAACTAATGAAAGGGATATTTGGAACTTTTGTTCTTCAACATCTGGAAAATCACAGGTTTTCAAATCCATTTCATTCCCTGTTTATACAAAACACATAACATTGGGCTGAATATATGATAATCTGAACTTCTTTAAAGAGTACGCAATTTTATTCTTACATGTCCCATCTTATTCAAGATGATGTACTCTCTTCATTATGATTTTAGGACTGGAAGTTTTATTATGCAACAATATTTGCATAATTGTACAAAATAATTGTATTGGAAACTTTATTACATTGTAGTAAATTTCATCGTTTATATTGAAATCTAAAGATTTGATAAGCCTAGGTAGACTGATTTGATATATTTTCTCATACGTTCTGCAGGTTTTAATGTAGCAATTCTAATTTTTTATTTAGCAAAGTGCTAAGGCAATTCTAATTTATTATATGTAAAAGCTATTAATCAGTCCAATTTGATGTAGTTCCTATGAATCTGTACAGATTTTGCTACACTTTTTGAAAAACCAGATAGGTAGTCCTCAACCTATGACTACAATTGAGCCTAAAATTTCTATTGTTAAGTGAGACATTTGTTAAGTGAGTTTTGCCCTATTTTACACCTTTCTTACCACAGTTAAGTGAATCACTGAAGTTGATAAATTAGTAACCTGGTTGTTAAATGAATCTGGCTTCCCCTTTGACTTTGCTTGTCAGAGGGCTGCAAAAGGTGATCAAATGACTTTGGGACACAGCAATGGTCATAAGTATGAACCAGTTGCCAAAGGTTGTAACTGTGGAAAATGGTCATAAGTCACTTTTTCTCTAACTTTGTACCTTGGAACAGTAACTAAGTGAACTGTTGTAAGTTGAGGACTACCTGTATACTTGAATTGGATCAATGACCTTCCCATAAACTATCTTGCTTTGTTTCATCTGTTGTTGGATCTGATTGATGGCCATAACATTTCTACACTACAATACACCACAATTCTCATTATGTGTGGAAGTAAGAAATGTTTGATACAATGTCTGTACAAGAATTTATTTTAGCAGATTTGTTAAAAAGTTAATAAGAATTGAAATACTAAAAAGGACAAGAGATGATGGATAGCTATGTAATACCTCTCAATATGGGAATTGCCTTATTAGAAGTTAGAAAAAAGAGGTAGAAAGTAGAAATGGGGAAAATATAATTATGTATACTGTTACATAAAATAACACACTATAACTACAATGTATGTATATATATAATTTATTTTAGTCAATTAGCAATAGCACTTAGCACTTAGACTTATATATCACTTCACAGTGCTGTAACAGCCCTTTCTAAGCGATTTACAGAGTCAGCATATTGCCCCAACTATCTGGGTCCTCATTTTATCCACACGGAAGGATGGAAGGCTGAGTCAACCTTGAGCCGCTTAGAATAGAACTCCCAAGTTTGCCTGGAATAGTGTATTCTAACTACTGCACCTCCACAGCTCCAATTATTTAATTAATCAAGTGAACACTGGGACACTTCTCCTGACTGCAGTCTTAGTAAGATAAAAAACAGAAAGTGAAACATACATTTGGAATGATCCCATACAAAAAATGCTGCACAACTACTTGTTTGCATCTTTTCATATGTTCTCTGGGAGAAAAAATAGAACCAGCAATTGGCAAATATAAAAAAGTCACAAATGCAAAATCAAGATCTCATTATCTGAATTTTGTTGAATTCAGTGAATTGAAAGGAGCAATCAGACAAACAAACTGTCCTAGAAGTATCATAGTGTACCAACAAAGGGGCTAAATTTGGTACCAGTCTAACAAATTAATGAAAATATTTCTAATTTGGAATATCAATGCTTTGTAACAACCTGGGTATTACAGTTTGTTGAGTGAGGCTTTTCTTGGGGTATGATCTTTGCAAATCACACAGAAACACAGCAAGCATTTTGAGACTTGAAATTCTCATTTTAGAATGCTCCACTTCAGAATTCTGACATCAAAACAGACTTCATTTTAGGAATATATTAAAAAATTTACAGAAGCATTTGGATTTTACATGGCTCAGTGTAGTGTATTTTAGTATCACTAGCATTTTTTAAAGGCTGTTGCTGAATTATTCAATGAATTATATCTTGCTTTGAAATGTATAGTATAAGAATGGGTAGAAATATTTAGCTAAATAAATAAGTAAATTATGTAACCTTAATAAGTTTGCCTTCGGAAGTTGTGGGAGATTCATCATTAGAGGCTTTCAAGAAGAGATTGGACTGCCATTTGTCAGAAATGGTGTAAGGTCTTCTACTTGGGCGGGGGGTTGGACTAGATGACCTTAAGGTCCCTTCCAACTCTGTTAATCTACACTCCATGAGAGAGAAAGGGAGGCTATCAGTCAAATAACATAGCAACACTGCTTTCTCCCTGTCTTTTCTTAAGGTTATTTTTTATTCCCCTTTTATTTATTTATATTATTTCTTACCTCTATTTTCCCTCCAAATATTTATTCTTCTTTTGTTCTTTATTATATGTAGAAATATAATATATATGTTTGAAAATTATTGCTACACTCCAATCCTACCATCCACACAAAAAACCCCAAGACATTAGGACATTGATATTCTGATCACTATTTGGAGAAACAAATGCTGATCTTCAAAGGCATAAATTTAAGGTAGGGGCTTTTTTTAAAGGGTGGAGTTAAGAGAGCAAGAGTTCATAAGCGTCAATTCAAGCTTTGTTAAATATTAGTTATGGCAGAGGTGGAGATCAATTAGCATGAACTTAACTTTCCAGGATAGAACAAGGACGAAGGGGAAGGGCTACTGCTGACAGTTATCTTCCACAATAAACGGTTCCTTTATAACAGCTGGGTGTAACTGAACAAATTCTTTCTACCAATCTACAGCCTCTGATCACACCATAATCCTTAGGCTCCAAATAATTCAAAGACAAAAGGCAATCAGTATATCCAAAATAGTAAGTCTGTGTTTTTATCTTTTTCACTGAATTATATAGACTGGGCACTTAACTACTGTGTTTAAAAAGAGGGGGAAAGATAAGTTATCTAAAAACTGCTTATGTTCTCTCCCTGGCTGAACTTTCAGAAGCCAAGAATCACACTTCTGTCATGTTTGGGCAGATGGTATTCATTTTGTTAACAAAATGAGCTATTAGCATTGTCAATGTCAAGTCTTACGATAGCTGGAAATTATGAATTATAAAATTGTAAACAATTTTCCATCTTTGCTGTTATTGGTGCCTTTTGCTTTTTATTTATGTTATTTTATGCATCGCTTCTCATTTTTCCTCTGTGTAAACTACTGTCCACTAAACTAAAAAACACCAACATACCTGCTAATATTACAAATCTGGATACAGGTTCCTGAAATAATATCCAACATTCTGATTTCTTAGGATTATTCCAAGCACAGAAAATGCGTAAATGTATGGAGCAAAAGCATCCAAGATAATGCTTTATTTAATCAACCAAATTACTGAATAATGGTTTTTAATATTATTTCCATTTTTAAAAAAAAAAATTCTAAAAATTGTTCGTGTTTCTGTTCTTAGTTTAGTGGCAGCATATTCCTTTACACAATAAATTGGTTTATCATTTAATTTCCTGAGAAATTTATTTTTTCTACAGGTAGAAATGGTTTCTGAAAAGGAAGGAAAGAAACATATTAATGGAAATGTTAATGATGAGAATATTGTGTTTGAAGATGCTTCTCGAAGCCAAAAGTAGGTTTTTCAATTTTAGTTGGCTGATTTTTCGCATTTGCAGTTGATGCATTTATCTGTTTTATGCTGTACAATTCGTTCTCTATTAGAGGCCAAACATCCATTCAAAATATACCACTTTCCAGAGCTAACTTCTATATTCAACAAGTTTATTGTCATATCATGGATTATAACCTAACACTAATATTTTATTTATTATTATTAAATTTGTTTGCTGTCCATCTAGAGGTGATTCTATATTCTCTATATACTCTAATATTTAGTGTTGTGAATTTCTTAGTATACCTTGTTATTCATCCACTGTAAAAGGGCATTGGGATCCTCTATGGCTTTACTGAGCTTTCATTATAGTACAGTGACTTTATTTATTTTTTCTCTATTTCAATCTTGCTCTGGTTTTTTTTCTTTACATTTTTCAAAAGTTTTGTTGAAAACTGCCTGCCTACAGATTTTCAGCAAGAGAATTATTTTTTTCAAAAATGAAATATTGTTTAAGAAAACCCTGTGTTACTTACATTCTGCATCATCATCAACTTCTGACAAACTGGTGAAAGTATACAAATATAGCTGGCTATTTATATTGCATTCATGTTTGTTTTTGGTAGCCGAGAACATTCAGTGGGACAAACATATTGTTGCCACTTTCGGTCCTTCCTCCCTATTAACCCTATTTGTAGATAGGCATAGATTCAGCAGCTGTTATTTTTCCTATCATATCCCTCTGGAATACGGACAAAATACTCCTGAGTTGCAATAGAGTTTATTTTCCTGGAAATAAGAACTTTGGTCTTGTTAAATTGTCAGCTTCTGTTATAAGTATACACTCCAAGATCCTTATATTTTCTCTATATTGCTATATTGTTGTATTTACACATCAGTTGATAAACAGTAGTTCATTTAAATCCTAGTTTGAACCTGGTTCAAAAGTTAAAATGACTTAGTAAACATATAATGCTAGGCAATTAGATTATAAATCACAATGGCTGTACTCACTCAGCACAAAACCAAGCAAAACATGTATGGCACAGTGGAAAAACTCAGTTATCAAAATAATAGGAAAATTTAAATGCTTTTTTCCTGCTTGACAGTGTTCATGAATCAGTTTCAGATTTAGAGAATTATAATTATTTGAGAACTCATTGATTTCAATGATTTTTGAACTAGGTTTTATTTCCCCAAAATGAAAAAAACAAATTAAATTGAAAAGGATCAGGTTTCAACATTCTCATGTATCAATATTGAATGAAATCTTAAAACATAACTTTCATATTTGATGTAATTATTTGAGAAATATTACATGGAATAAGAATACATAAGTCACCCTGTAGTGAGATGGGCAGCAAATAAATAAATAAAATACTTAAATAAGTTATACATAGTGTCATAACTTAATGTACTAATAAGTAATTCATTATTTATTTGAATGTATTCTGATTTAGGTCAATTAACAGAGAATCCAGAACCAAAGAAAAAAATGCAAAAATAAACAATAAAATAGCATCATATAATAGTAATTAATATTAAAATGAATTATGAGAAACCAACAATGGTTCAAAATAAAACATATTAAACATAGCTCCTGACACTGTTACATTGTTTCAAATATTAAAGTATGCTATTTCTGAAAAAATGGATTTTGATTCTTTTTGTCATGCTAAATTAACATTATGAATAGTGCAGATTTTAAAGCACCCTAGTTAGGATCATTAGCACTTTCATTTTCAGAGACACCTAAAGTATGAGAAGTGCAAATTATGTTTATTATTTTAATTGTATAAATATTTTTCTTTATAGAAAAAAATGAAATTTGACTATATATTATTTTATAGGAAAAAGAAAAAAACCAAGGAAAAAATTAATATGGTCAGCCTATTTGCAGTGGTAAGTTTTAAAATCTGGTTGTTTTATTTTGTTTTGTTTTGGTGCCCTAAAGTCACTGACTGCCTGGATTAATGCATGCAGTTTTCTTGTCAAGATTTCAGAAGTTGTTTGCCAATGCCTGCTTCTTAGAACTGACTTGCCCAAGATAAACCTGCTGGCTTTGTTCTTAGGCAGGATTAAAACACTCTTATATTTCTAACCTGATATTTTAACCACTACATGAAACTAATTCTTTTTTAAATTTACAATTAAAATACCAAAAATTTTTAATGTGTATGTATGTGTATTCAATGAAACTAAATAAAAACATTCATTCTGTGAATATTATGTGAAATTTGTTAATTTGTATTCAAGCTATTTTTTAAAGAAGGTACCAGATAACATTGTTTTAAAGCAGAGGTCCCCAGCTCCCAGTCCGTGGACTAGCACCGGGAAACTGGGCCGCGCAAATGAGCACAGCCCCATTCTCCAGATGCAGGCAGCATGAGAAACCACGTCCCCTCTGGTTCACAGAAAACCTTTCTTCATGGAACTGGACCCTGGTGATCAAATGGTTGGGGGCCACTGTTTTAAAGTATTAATATAAACCACATTATATTATGTTTTCCTAATTTAATGCAAGAATATGACAAAATAAAAAGTCAATGAATGTTGCTTGTTAGTTGTGGAATTATCTCATAGATGTATATGTTCTACTTGTATGACAGTTATCAATAAGTGGACAATTTTTTGCCTTGTGGATAATTTGCTTTACAGTTTCGTTACTCCGATTCCCTGGATAAATTATTAATGATAATGGGTGCTATTTTTGCAGCCCTTCATGGGGCTTCCCTTCCAGTTATGATGATTGTTTTTGGAGATATGACAAATACCTTTGTTGGATCTGGAACTCTTCCTCTAGGTAAGAGGAGTCAATAATATCATGAAAAGAATGCAAAGACAGAGAGAATTGAAGCATGTATCTTTTACAGTGGATATCTAAGAAAACTGCCAAACATTTTTTTAGACTCTTAACTACTGGCGTTGGCTAGAGCAGGATTTACAACAAGAGCATTCTATTCTTAAATTGCTGACAAATGGCTGTCCAGAATGGTATAAGTTCTTCTACTTGGGCAGGGGGTTGGACTACAAGACCTCCAAAGTCTCTTCCAATTCTCTTATTCTATATATCCATGTAAGACTGATACTGATAAGTGAAGAAACTTAGACAAATGTACATGATAAACACAATAAATATAGATCAATATATCTAGCACCAATAATAAATGTTATATACAAATTAAAATTATTAGAACCAAAACTAGATTGACTGTAAAGAATAATCTTTGGAGCTTGTAAGCACTGGTAGAAACATAGGAAATCAGCCTATGCCAAATTAAATTTTGGAATCCTCTTGTACAAGGTCATATTCTAAAAATAGATAGGACCAAAATAAAAAATAGTATGTGAGCCACTGAAAATCATATGCAGGCCCATTTAGTGGTACTGTAAAAAAAGACTGGCACTTTCAAATAACAATATTCATTTAAAATAAATATATACATTTAAGGACAGAAGTTAACATTTTGTGGATAATCTGGAAGACTTTTCTTATTTCTTATTCGTTGCCACAGGTTAGCATTTTCCTTTGTATTATAAAGGATAAATCTATTTTAGAATTTACACTATATTTTTAATATTTTCTGTCACCAAATGGCAAGAAATCATATTACCTATGTAAGACGCATGTAGTCAGGGCTAAGGATTCTAAGGGCTACATAAAGTCCTAAGCCTTAGATTGTCCCACAACCTTAGATCTAACAACATTTTAACAAGACTAATTAACCCCAAACAGAAAGTCCTAAATACTCTCCAACAGAACTTTTCTGAGTTTTATTATTTCCTGCGATCAACAGAGAACTGTGTATACAATAGATAGCTGTAATATTCTTATTTTCTCTAGGATAACATGGCTACAGATATTCCTCATTTAGCAACTATTGAGACAGGCAACTTCATTTGTAATCAAAACAGTTACTAAATGGGAGAACAAGTAAATGTGTTTGTGCTTTGCTTTTCCCTACTTCCCCATTCTTTGGAATGCTGGGATAGTTAGGAATGAGGGAATTACTGTTCATTTACATTAACTGGAGAGAAAGGAATTATAAGAGAGTAAGCAGGCACACAATGGGGAACATTTACTCTTTTGTAAACTCTTCCTTCCCAATCTCTCTACTCTTTGAAGGAGGAAAGAAAAATGGATCAGGCACAGGACAAATGTATACTAACTGATTGGAATGGTGAATACATGACAGACAGAGACAGAGATTGCACCCTTAGTAAATGTGCACCTCGGTCACAAAGTTACTTTTTCAGCTGCATCATAACTTGACATGGTCACTGCATGAAGCAATCAATAAATGAGGTCTATCTGTAGAGCAAAGAAAGACTAGAATCACAAGCCAAATTGATAACATAAGGAGGCACTTCTTCAGTTTTCTATTTTCCTTTGAATATTATATCCTACATATTTTTTTCAAATCATGATGTGGACATTGAAATCTTACTAAAAACCAAATATATTTCTTTATTAAGAGCAGAATTGCAGGAATAGCAACAAGTAATCTTATCAGACAACTGTTATCGTGGTATAAACAAATGATGCCATTTAATAATTTATACAGTTTTTAAAATCTTTATAATCTTGTGACTGGGGATAATCTTGTGGCTGGAGGTATTAAATTGTTAATTTCCCCTTAATATTGTCTTTACTTGATTTAAACCTTCTACTTGATTTAAACTTGATTTCTTCCTTCTACTTAGATAGTGCATCTAATCATGAAAATAATGATATAAAGAACCAACTTATTGATGATCTAGAAGAACAAATGACAAGGTACCTTAAATTAATATATATTGTTATACATTACATATTCGACATGTTTATAAGTGCTTGTGTATATAATGTAATAAATGAGATTTTCATTTAAAATTTTAATATTTTTAAACAAGGATTAAATAATTTCCTTTAATAAAGTTTGTAAGTCTGGAGAGCCTGATGACTACCAACGTTTTGGACTATAACTCAGATACAGCCTGTTGAAACTCTGCTTCAACTAATCTGGAAGTCATCAAGTTAGGGAATATTTTTTTAGTGTGCATTCTGATATTGGTGACAATCCAGAATCTAAGAAATTGTTGGAAGACTATAATTCTACTGCATTTACGCAAAAATGGGAGGTTAAAAATGCTCTGCCCAAGCTGCTATTTTTCCCTTTTTCCACATATACATACCATTTACTCTCACCAGCCCCCATTACCACCTGCCTCGCCTTGCAGTGGCAGCACCTGCTCTACATCATCCCTGGGCTGGCTAAACTCAGGAAAAACTATGTCAGCTGGAACTGGTCAAGGAAGGCCAGGCTCCCCTTCCCTGATGTTTCTGCAAAGCCCTTGAGGTTTTGCGTGGAAAAGCAAATCACTCCCCCAGGGTTGGCCTCAGCACCCGCTTCAGATGGTAAACAGAAGAGTTTTGCTCCTTTCCTCCTGGGCCTTTGAAATTGCCCCTCACTTCACTTTTCTGCCTTAAAATCCAAAGAAGACATGTTTTCCTCCTGATCAGTTGAGGATAACTATGGTATGATTTTTGTAAGAAGCTGAATGTATATGTGAGTCCAGCCCACTTGTTACGGGCCGACCTTGCGGGAAGCGAATCCGCTCCTCCATGCAAAATCTCAAGGGCTTTGCAGAACCATAGGGGAAGGGGAGCCTGGCCTTCACGCCCAACTCCAGGTGGGGTAGTTTTCCTGGAGCTTAGCATCCTTCCATATGAAGGAGGAATACAAGTCTGGGAGAAGTGGCAAAAAATGGGGCTGCCATTTCCAGAACGGAGAAGGGAGACACGGGGCAATACAGGCTGGTGAGAAATTGGGGACCAGTGATCGCTGTGCAGTGGAAGGGAGGGAGGGAGGGAGGGAGGGAGGGAGGGAAAGAGAGAGATCCGATCCAACCTTGGAGAGTTATACTAGGGCTGGCAGCAAGGGTACTCTGTGCTGTTGTGACTCCACCCACCAATTCTTCCATGGCTGTGTGGGCAGAACCTCAAGGTGGTCAGGTAGCTGAAACCACCAGCCCAGGGATGATGCAGAGAGCCTATCAGTGGCTTTCAGAGCTACCACCATTGAAACCATACAATGCAGGCAGCGAACAGGGAGCAGGCAGCATGAGGCGGCATGGCAGGTGGAAGCTGCTGCCAGGCAGGTGATCTCTGGGATGGGGAGGTGGGGACTGAAGAAAGCCCCTCCAGCAGTGGATGGAGATGATGTGCAGCAGCGGTGGAGGCCTTTTGCTGTCACTCCCTCCGGGCTCTGAAACAGAGGGGAACTGGATAAGAGGACTGAGCCTCCCCTGCCCATCCTCCATAGCATGGCAGTCCATCTCGGGAGAGGAGTAAAAGGGAAGAGGCAGGGAGAGGTCACCAAGCAGGGAGTGGCCTGGCTGCAGAGGCCCTGAGGTACATGGTCTAGGATAAATGGCAACTCCACCCCCCCACTTGCCTCAACTCACCTTGTGGCAACCTCCCAAGGGTTGCTGGAGCTGAAACAGGCCAATCACTCTCCAGCAGCTTCCTAGGCCTGCCAGAAGGCAAGGACAGCATCTCCTGAAATATCTCAGCACTTGGTCCTGGATGAAGGAAAAGGGGGAGCTGGCAAGGGCACTGCAGGCAGGATGCCCTCTCACTTCAGCGCCCGCCCCAATCCTCCAGAAGCTCTGCCCGTACTTCAGCACTGTGCTGCCGCCTCTCCACTCACCTCTCGGGTGGGCCAGGCCCAGCATCCCCGGGGCAAAGGCCCCCCCCACTCAGCCCAGAGGAGCATCGGCCTGGCCACTCACATCGGCGCCCATCCCACCCCACTTAGCATGGCTGTCACAGGGCTTCTGGGGCTGACCTGGCATGGGAAAGGCATGTGTGGCCTTCCCCACATCCAAACTTTCTCATAGTTTGTGTGCCCTCCACTTTCCGAGGTTGGCCCAATTGTTGCTGCGCTTCGAAGCTCTGTGTCTCCACCCCATGTGCAGACCACGCCTGGCTATTTGTACCAAAAGCTGTCCCACCCAGCTCCCACGTGCTCACTGCCTGCAGTACTTAAGAATGCCCCCAAAATAAGCTCTGGTGCTTATTTTGGAGCCCAAAAAATATAAGACCGGGTCTTATTTTCAGGGAAACACTGAACCACCCTACAACTAAGGGTGGTAAGGCAGAAGGGACAAAGAAAGAGGGGTCAAGGAAGATGGAAAAGGGCAGAGCTCCCTGTGTGATGACACACCACATGTTTTTCATCATTTTGGCTAGATGTAGATGCCTATGTCTGCAAAAAGGATCTTTCTGCAGATTAAAGCAATATAAATGTATTCATCAAGTCAAGATGGCTTAATGTTTTGAATACTTTGTTTTATGCAGCAAACTTCTCCAAGTTGTCTTCTGTGTAAGACTAGACATCTCATAATTCATCAGGCAGAGGAACAAATAGCCATATTTGCTATCTGTGTTGGGTAATACAGCCTAAGTTATTAGAAGGCTCACAAGAGTGACCTTCAGAACAGCATGCTTCCATCTGAATGCAAATTTCTTGAGAAGAATAGGAAGACTAGTTGCCACAGTGTTGTACTTATAATATTTTTAGGACCCTAATAACTATGAAACAATGTAAGCAGATTTTTTTTGGTCAGGTCTGTCATGTTTTTTATTGGTTTACATTGAGTATGTTCTCCACATTATGGTCAATTCCTTTCTTAAGATTAATTATGATGCTACAGGCAAATAAAGGTTACCTTTTTGAATTTACCTTTACAATATTATATTTCAGGTATGCATACTGGTATTCAGCCATAGGAGCTGGAGTTCTTGTCTCTTCCTATGCATACGTTGCATGTTGGACACTTGCAGCTGGCCGCCAGATCAAAAGAATTAGGCAACAATTTTTCCATGCCATTATGAGGCAAGAAGTAAGATGGTTTGATGTAAATGATGCTGGAGAACTAAATACACGACTTATAGAGTGAGTCCATATTTCATGCTTTTTCTTCAGTAATTAATTTAATTTATCAGTTTGGTTAGCTTTAAAGTTTTAAATCCCAATTGCTTAATTTGTGTTAGTCAAATTCAGCTCTGAAAAAATACTATATGTGTGTAGCATTAGATGACAACAGGATAAAGCTTTTCTGCATTCTATTGGTCTCCAAAATTAGGATGTCCAAGGGAAACTTCTGCTTGAAATTGTCAAACTAAAATGTATAAGCATCTTTGATTCTGCTTAAAATCTCCTTCAAATTCATTCATTACTTAGAAGATCAAAACAAAAATTAGCACCAATACCTTATATTAAATACCCTTGGCTTTTATATAGAATGCTTACAAATTATACTTCTTCCAGTTCATTGTGTTTTTCCTCACTCCTTTATAATTTCCCCCTTTATTCAGGATACAACAGATGGAACCAATATGTATTTTTTGGTAGGAGGAATGTATATTCTATATCCATGTATATACTTAAACTGTGCTGTGTTGATACAACTGAAGTATGTCAGAAAACCAGCAAAAATGCATCTTTATAGTCATTTCCTGAACATTGCCCTAACAAATTTGCTCTAATTTCTTTTCAGTGATGTATCCAAAATCAATGAAGGAATTGGTGAAAAAATTGGAATGCTGATTCAGGGAATATCAACATTTCTAGCAGGATTTATAATCGGATTCATCAAAGGATGGAAATTGACTCTTGTAATCCTTGCTATCAGTCCTGTTCTAGGAATTTGTGCTGCAGTTTGGACAAAGGCAGGTATACGTTTGCTGAAATGTAATTGTATAGTACCCAATTCACTCCTTTCAATCATGAAAATGTCATCATGGTTCCCTCTAAAATGGTGTTTTGATTGTTTTGTGTTTCTTGAAATAATAGCAGGGATAATATATGCATGTCCAGAGATTGGATATCATTACCAAAATGTTCTGGGTGACCGAGGATGTAATATACCTTCTTTAGGAAAGAAGGAAGAAACACATTATTTAATTGCTGGCCTCTGATTGATTAGTTTTGGTTTCAGATCAGTATGTTTTAATCTAAAACTGTACTGAATTTTCCTGAATGGTGCCTTGACAATATATCAAGATTATTTGTGTGTGGCACACATAAAAAGGAATAGGATTTGGTTACTCAGTCATGATTGACATCTTCACTTTTTAGACCCCCTTTGTGAAATTCCATATAAGTTGCCATCAGTGCACATGTGTACACACAAGAAAATGCACACACACATCACAACTGTCCCACAAGAGATCAGTGGGATGTCCCTAGGAGCAAGCTTTTTTTAAAAAAAACTTCTTACTCTTTTGTCCAGAGTAGGATTTAGAGGATTACATTTCTGTACTCAACATTTGCCAAAATGAAGATAATATTCATCCTGTATCTGCATTTGAGAGTGTCCTATGTCCTTTAAGAGAGGGCTTTTTCACGCTTGAGGAAAACCACTCTGCTTGTCTCCATACTTTGAGGCTTACCTGGCCCTTGGGAATCTCAGCTGATTAAACATTATCCCCTTTCTTCTAAATCCGAGGTCTTCAAACTTGGCAGCTTTAAGACTTTTGGACTTCAACTCCCAGAATTCTCCAGCCAGCATAGTTGACTGGAGAATTCTGGAAGTTGAAGTCCACAAGTCTTAAAGCTGCAAAGTTTGAAGACCTCTGTTCTAAATCATTCTCTCCTATAGCCAAGGCAATATGGTGCCTTTGCCTGCTCCCTCATCCTCCAGATCCTTCCTTGTATTTTGCTGCTTCCATTCTAGCAGTCAGTTTTCAATATAATTCCTTGCCATGAGAAAAAAAACATGACAAGGGAAAAAAAGGCCAGGCATTGCAGTCTGTGATTGAATATGGCTGCTTTTTAAACCAAAGGCAGTTCAATGGGAGAGTGAAATACAACAATGAAAAGATTTGCCTGGTGATATAAAACTTCCCTAAAGGATAAGTTGGACATTGTTGATGGCTGTCTAGAATTTGGCTACCTGCAAATTAAAGTTAGAGTAGGCATCTTGGGTTCCCCAAAACAGGCCAAGGAATCCTCTGAAAAATCGAGATACTAGACACAACCACATTGTGCAACGTGCTCATGTTCTTTAAAAATCAAAAGCAATAGAGAAAAGAAGAAGAACACCAGAACTTATTAAGAAGAGGAGAGAAAGGTGGGGAAGAGAGAGTTCTGGTCACGGAAAGGAGAACAAAAATGGGGCAGGTAGAAATTACTTGATTTTAAGAAGAAGCTTATTGTAGACTCTTTTTTTATATATATATATAGGCAGTGTTTAATCTCCAATGGTCCACATGTAAAAATGAAGCTGATTTCATTCATTTTATTAGATTTCATGAAAAATTGCTTTAAATGGAAAAAGTCAAAACTTTTTTCTTTTTCCATAGATCCTTTCTTCATTCACTAATCGGGAACTTGCTGCATATGCAAAAGCTGGGTCAGTTGCTGAGGAGGTCCTAGGCTCTATCAGAACAGTGATAGCTTTTGGAGGACAAAAGAAAGAAATAGAAAGGTCAGGAAAATCTGTTAATTTTTCACAGAATCTCTGGAGCTGCCCACATATCTGACTAATTTCATTCTGTGTATTTTACTCTTCCAAAAGCACGTAAGTGATAGACCAGTAGAATTCATTACTACACTCCTCCATCATTATTCATAAGAGTTGATCTAAATTTTAATCTTGTTAAAATGTTGCTGTTCCAAATCTTTTGGACTACAGTTCCTATTGCCTTCTACCATCAGGGAGTTGAAATGAAAATCGCTTGCAAAATGGCAAATTGGGGAAGTTTCTGCTTGCTTCTCAGTGAATCGAAATGAAATGGAGTACTCTACAGTCTGATTCTTTTTCTTTTTCCTTGTTTTGATTCCTCTTGTTCATTAATGCAGGACTTGTGGTAGCTTTCCAGTGTAAATCTTAAGAGTTTGTGATAAAAAAGGAAATTGAATTAATTTGAATATGTACACATACATAACAGGGGTGAAATCTAAATTTTTTTGCTACCGGTTCTGTGGGTGTGGTTTAATTAATGGGCGGGGTTTGGTAGTCAGGTGACTGAGTAGGTGTGGCTTGTTGGTCAGGTGGGCGTGGCCAAGTCGACATAACTTCTTTGCCCTTTTTTAACCTACAAAACACAGCACAACACAACTGGCTCACCCACAATGTAAAAGCAGCTGTGCTAGACCCAAAATGGCCCCTGCAACAAGCAGGAACTTCACACAGCCACAAAAAGTCCAAAAAACCAACTTTCACACTTTACACACACAAAATTCCACATACAGCTTTGTGAGATTTTGTGTGTTTGTGTAGTTAGACTGAAACAATACAGAAACATACAAAATCTCACAAAGCTGCACAAATATTATTTTATTTTATTTTATTTTTATATAAAAGCAGCTAAGTTTGAAACTTCCTAAACTTTAAATGGTTAGGTCTAAAAAAAAACAACTAAAAAAATATCCCAATTAACTATTTTTTTAAAGCTCCCAAAGAGGGAAAAAACTTACAGGCAGGCAGGCAGGCAGATAGAGCTGCTCACCGATGAGCTTAATTGCAGGTAGGGAGATTCAGTTGCTTGCTGATGCAATGGATTGCAGGGATTACAGCAAGCGAAGCAAGGCAGGTGTTGCGACCAGCAGCTCAGGATTTGAAGAGCGAAGGTAAGCAAGCTGAAGGCTGGGGGGGGGGAAGGGATTTTTGCTACCGATTCTCCGAACTGCCCACCGCCATCGCTATCTATTCGCCTGAGCAAGTCCGAACCGGGAGCATTTCACCTCTGATACACAAGCTGCTACTTAAAGGACATTATAGTTGCAAGTAGGAGGGAACTGAATAATTAGAATAACTAATTTTGGCCAAAATTAAATAATGTAATACTTTTGTTGCCAAAAAGCCTGATAGAGAACTGAGGAATAGCAATAGCATTTAGACTTATATTCTTCTCTCCAATACTTTACAGCACTCTCTGAGCAGTTTATAATGTAAATATATTACCCTCAACAATCTGGATCCTCATTTTATGGACCTTGGAAGGATGAAATGATGAGTCAACCTTGAAACAAATATTGCTTGTTCCTTTTTCCTTGAGTAAATGACAAGTAGTTGGCTGTAATCGTTAATTTTGTGCAAAAATATTTTTCTAGAATTATGATTAGCAAAACACATGAGTATATATTTTCTTAACATCAATAACTATAGACAATATAATTGAGAAGAAAATGACTTTTGTGTCCAGTACAATTATATAATATACTAAGTTTGCCATTTTTCTTTCAGATATCATAAAAATTTAGAAGATGCTAAAAACATTGGGATAAGGAAGACTATGAGTACCAGCATTTCGCTTGGAGTTGCTTTCTTAATAATATATGCTTCCTATGCATTGGCTTTCTGGTATGGAACTACATTGATATTAGATGAAAAATACACTATTGGAGGAGTCCTTACAGTAAGTGTGGACAATTAGCTGTACAATGTTATTTTGCAAAAATAAAAGAACATAAAATTAATAATAACCAATTTCCAAAGCTGGGTATGAAAACAACTTTACAATGCACATGTACAAATCCATGTAATATTTTATTGGTTAGAATTTGTTTGATCTTGAAAAGCTAAGCATGTAGAATAGTGGTTCTCAACCTTCCTAATGCTGCGACCCTTTAATACAGTTCCTCATGTTGTGGTGACCCTCAACCATAAAATTATTCCTAAAACCATATTCCTAAGAAATATGTGTTTTCCGATGGTCTTAGGCCAGGGGTTCCCAACCTTTTGGACCTCAGGGACCACCAAATTCATAATTTTAAATTTCGTGGACCACTAATACGAATCCAGTGCGCTGCTTGCTGAAGCACCTGGACTCCCAGTGACAGGATGGGATCCTTCAGGCACTCTCCCTCCTCTCTCTCTCTCTCTCTCTCTCTCTCTCTCTCTCTTTCTCTTTCTCTGTCTGTCTCTCTCCCACTCTTTCTCTCTCATTCTCTCCTTCTTCCTCCCTCCCTCTCTCTCTCCCCCATTCTCTTTTTCTCTCTCCCACTCTTTCTCTCTCATTCTCTCTTTCTCTCTATCCCACTCTCTTTCTCATTCTCTTTCTCTCTCCCCCCTCTTTCTCTCTCTCTCCCACTCTCTCTCTTGTTCTGATTCTCTCATTCATCTGATTCTCTCTCTCTCTCTGATTCTCTTTCATTTTGTCTCTCTCTCTTTCTCTGATTCTCTGATTCTCTGATTCTGTCTCTTTCTCTGTCTCTCATTCTCTCTCACTCTCTGATTCTCTGCATCTCTCATACTCTCTTTCATTCTATCTTTCTCTCTCTTTCATTCTTTGTCTCTTTCTCTATCTCATTCTGATTCTCTCTCTTTCTCCCTCCCTCCCTCCCTCTCTCTCATTCTCTCTCTCTCATCTCATGGGCCAGCCAGTGTCTTGGGGCTGAGAGGAAGTCAAGCATCTCCCTGAGAGACCGAGGTGCACAGAGTGCCAACAAGGGCTGGAAGAAGTGTAGGAGCGAAGCACTACTTGAACTTGCGCGGCATGAGCATTCGCCTTGGTATATTTGCGCCAGCCAGTGGCCAAGACAGCCCTCCTCTTCTGCCGCTTGGGACTCAGAGCAGTAAATGGCGTCTGGTCCAGGGGAGCAGACGGATTTTGCTCTCTATTGCAGATGCCAGATTGGCCCCCTGCAAGCTCTCATCTCTCAAGGAGCGCTCCCTGAAACGGTGCTGGAAACTTTGGTTGGGCTCCTCGAGAGACGAGAGCTTGCAGGGGGCCGATCTGGCATCCGCAATAGAGAGCAAAATCTGGCTGCTCCCCGGACCAGATGCTATTTACCGCTCCGAGTCCCAAGCGGCAGGAGAGGAGGGCTGCCTTGTGCCACTGGCTGTCTTAGGTGACCCCTGTGAAAGGGTCATTCGACCCCCAAAGGGGTCGTGACCCACAGGTTGAGAACCACTGATGTAGACGATCACCACAAAGTCCCAGGGCAATAGACAGGAATAGGCAGGTCAAATGGTATCTTGGAAGAAAGCAATTGAAATCCATATCTCTACTATTGTCAAGAAAATTTTGTGAAGGTGAGGTTAACTTGAAGGAGACTGTACTGTCATGAAAGATGGCTATCAACTTCCTGTCTCGCTCATGGATGTCCTGGAAATACCATCTCGATGGCAAAAGGAGATAAACCTCTCCTTGATTTGAACCATCAGAGTGGCATTCCCGGTCATCCCTGTTGCTCTGTCTGCTAGCTCTTTATTTGAATAACTTATGCAAGAGGACCCTTGCTCCATTTTATTTCATGACAAAGCTGCTCTAGCAAAATTGGATTTCTCTTTAAGAATACGCTTTTGATCCTGTTTATTTTCTCTCTCTGCTTCTTCCATTGTGTCCTTTGTTGCAAATTCTGCTGGTAACTACACTGTTCATTGGATTCTAGTTATCCTTAATCTCCCTGCCTTTTCCTTAACATTCCACTTCAGTTCCCATCGGCCAAGGCTGCCACCTGAAATATGCCTTAGGACATGTACTTGCTTCCTTTCATTGTGCAGCCCAGCATGATTATTTGTCCAGTCTCTACAATCATTTAAGTTGTTGGGTTAGGACAGTGGAAGACAAATAAAGCTGTATATTATTGTTTGGTGAGGCACTGCATATTTTCTGCCTTGAAACTCTCCCAACTGACTATTTATAGTATATTTATAGAGCATGTTTATTTTTAATCCTTTTCTTTTTGCCTGCCAAGTATTAGAGACAATAGGAAATTAAATAGGAAAGGCTGAGATGTGAGATTACCACATAGTTTCCTGGTAGGTTTTCTGAACTAGAAGGTTTTTAAAGTGCTTTTAAGAAATGGTGCAGAGATACTTAGCGCTTCCCAGTTTTGCCAAGCACTGCACGGCATTGCAGGTTAAGGTAGTAAAAAAGCATGATTTTGCAGAAGAATTTTTGGCTTATCAAGTTCAGTAAATATTGGAGATGCATCGAAGTAAACAGCTTGTAGCATATAGACAAATTGTAATTCTAAGCAATGGTCAAAAAAATTCATGCTGGTTGGCAGGGATGGGCTAACTGTGATTCACAATACTTTTATGCAACATAGCTTTTTTTAATAGAGGAAAGTCAAAACCTGCAAAATTTGATCACCTGCCATTTGTAGATTTTAGTTTCTCTAGTTTCAGGGTATTTTAAAACTATGCCATATGATCTAGAGTAGGGTTAACTGCTATTTAAAATCTAAGGAAAAAAGCGTAGTGAAAAAAGGAAAAGATATAACAAATAGAAGGAATGATCTTGAGGAACAGAAGGAACAACCACTACGAAGACAATGTTCAGATAAAAGAAACCTGAATCAAGGTAGATCTATAACTTGAGAAAGCATCTAGGACAAAACCCTCTCTAGTTCTCATGAAGATAAAGGAAGGGAACTGGAAGCACATTCAGACTTGCAGACTTCTTTTATTATAACCTTTTGATAAACGTAGCCTTAGTCTACACAACATTTTGGTTTCCTAGTTTGGTTTACCTTGAAGAGCTGACATTATAAAACAGATGTATCTACTTTGTATTATTGCCTCAGCCCCTTTCCTGAAATTATTACTGTCCTCTCCAGCTTTGTAGGAATAGTTTAAGTCCTCAAATCCCCAAGTAATGTTACAATTACATTATCATTCATTTTGATCTTGTGTACCTCTTTACTTATTTAAAAATATTGTGAACCAGCAGTATTTGGACCCCCTCCCGCCTGTCTATTGTGTCAAACATTGATTTCAGTCCAAAGACCATACCAGTTTGCATTACTGTGTTTCCCCGAAAATAAGACCTTGTCTTATATTTTTTTGAACCTGAAATAAGCGCTTGGCCTTATTGCCATGTGCTCAAAAGCCCGATTGGGCTTATTATCAGGGGATGTCTTAATTTGGGGAAAACAGGATATTACACATCATTCTGTTTTAGTTTGTATTTAACTATATTTTAGTTTACTTTTATTCCTTTATTTTTTGTGTATTATAGTTTTTTCTTTGTTTTTATTTTACTTATGAATCACCCAAAGTCATTGAGAGTAAGGACATTTATTGAATGAATAAATAAAAAATAATAGAATAAAAAATAAAGAAATATATATTGTAATTTAAAAACCCATATTTACTCTTTGAAAGTTTAGTTTGATAGTGCAGAGGATTAGAATTTGGTTAGACTATTTTAATATCATCTCAGTGAAAATGACGATATTTTCCTACAATGCAAATTTTGAAATGAATACTTATACCATTACATTTGCATGCTGAATGATGTTTTTCAAGCACTATATTGAGAATATTCACTTGCAAGCATTATTGTTTCCCCCAGTAGACATTTTTTGCTTGCTGAACTTCAGCCAATCAAGTTTATACTACTGTATATGGAAACTGTACAGTTGACAATGGATGTTTCTTTTTGTTCTGAAACACTTTCTGTGTAGGTCTTCTTTGCTGTGCTCATTGGAGCATTCAGTATTGGCCAAGTCTCTCCAAACCTAGAAGCATTTGCTACTGCCAGGGGAGCTGCATATGCAATATTCAATATAATAGACAATGTAAGTATTCTTTTTGGAACTATGCCTATAAATGAAAAGAGCTAAAGAGTTAGAGATCTGTTAAAGGTTTTAATTATCATTGGTGAAAACTAGGTGACAAGGCCATTAGCTCCCTATGTTGTGGCATGATTTGTAGGAGGAGAGCATGTAGAACTGGGGGACGAAGTTAAGCATGTCATCAGCTTAGACTCATAACGTTTCCACAAATGGTCCAGCTCTCTTGAATTCCCTTATCTGGCATCAATTTAGTATTGAGATTTAGATTCTTGTGTGTAAGCTTGAGCAATAAATCTGAACTGCAACTTAACATATGGTCCTTTGCTCCTGGCATGATTAGAACTACAATACAGATAGTCCTTGACTTACATGATGCTGGTTGTAGAGTGTCTGAAATGCAATCATATGACTAGAGAGCAGGCAGCCATCAAAATTTCTGAACCATGTCATAAATATCTTTTATGGGGGGATCTATTGTAACTTCATATGGTCAATAAGCAATTGGTGGTAGTTCAAGAATTATCTGTGGTTGGACCATGCAACAGTCCAGATAATCATTAGATAGAAGAAAGGGTTTTTGCTGCTGTTTATTGATTGGCTGGATTTTGTAGCCTTGGGCATGTGGCAAACATATCAGATTTGTTTTTTCAAATCTATGCATACCTAAGATAATTCTTCAAATCTAGCATTGCAAATATTGTTAATTGCCTCTTTCTGGTTTTTATTGAATAGCATGTAAATCTAATAATAAAACTAACAATAACAGTAAAAGCTAAAAATCTGCATGTATTTCAACATTGGCTAAGAAGTCAATAGAGACAATAGGTTTGTAGCATTTTTCACTGCAGTGGAATGATCAACTCAGTTCATTGATGATATATTTTTAGGGATAGAATAAAAGAGGGACTAGATGAATGTTCAGAATATAGGAATAGCTGTACAATGTGACAACTAACAGCAAAGAAAGTAAAATTAAATCAATCTTTGCACTTACTTTGTAAATGGATAATGTAGATAAGTTAATGTAGAGGTGATAACTGTATGACCTCCAGCAAGCATAGTTGAAGAATAACGTAAATTAGATATTGCCTAGGAAACCAAAACAGAATTTGAAACATGTATAAAGGAACATAAAGGGGGAAAAAAGATATGTCAATTTTATATTGAATATATTTTTAATGAAATTATTTGAAAGGGGAAATGTAGGTCAGCAACATGAAACAATACTAAAATGTAGTTCCTAACCATCTAAATTGGCTATAAACAAAGATGTAAGTTCATACATTACAGTAAATCAAAGTATATTTAATTATAACTTTGACTAGAATCAGAATTGATTAGATTTATAAATCTAATCATAGTAAGCTATAATCCATTGCTTATAAATCACAATGAATAGATTCAGACACTATGCTAAATTAAAACCAAACTATGATATGGCTAAGCACTGATTTCACCAACAAGATATTCTCTAGATGTACATAATTCTCAGATCTTCTTGACCAGCATGGCCTTTCCTGCAAGTCTGGAACTTGACAATCACAGATCTGGATAGTACACAGATTGGGCAAAATTGTATGTTATGCGCTGTATCAAACAAATATGAAAAACGATTATGGCTACTTATGTAAAAATAGCAAACCCTATAGATAAACAACTTGCATACAATATTTTCTTTTGTTTTCAATCTGCAAATGAATGAAACTATTTGGATTTAATTTGTTATTTCCTTTTATGTAGGAACCACAAATTGATATTTATTCAGAAAGTGGCTATAAACCTGACAAAATTACAGGAAATCTCAGTTTCCAAAATGTATATTTTAATTATCCAGCAAGGCCAGATGTTAAGGTATCGTGAATTAAACCAGGAAGTATTTTTCACTACTACCATTTAAATGATAACTAATCAGCTTCAAATATTAAAGGAAGATCTCAGTACTGTATACAGCTTTATTTAGAATTGGCAAGGGAATAGAAAGCGGTGCAAACATATGTACTAAACTAATTCTACAAAGACTTCATAGCATAAACACCATATTATTGCTTTAAATTAGATTTTCCTATAGGTTCCTTCCAAATAGGCTGGAACCACATTTGAATTTTCAGTCACATGAAAATTCTATGAGTTACAGTTCCTTTTATATTTAGGTTTTTTTTTTTTACATTTAGCTTTTTTATTAGTTTATCGAAGTATAAAATACAAAGAAAAAAAGCATGAAAAAGTAAGAAGAGGTGGAGGGAAGAAGTAGTATAATGGGAGATATAGTGTAATGGGAGCAAAAAGAAAGAAAAAGGCACCGACTTCCAACTCTCTTTAGCACAGTAGAATGTAACAACTTTAACAACCACAACTTTTTGCTTTTAGACAACAGAATGTACAAGTCATTTCTATCACAATAAGCAACAAAAACAAAAGCAACAATAAGTTTACAAAAACAAAAGCAACAATAAGTTTACAAAAACAAAATCAAAGTTTCTTTTTTTCCCCATTGTAAGCACAAAATCCGGAAGCAATTTCAAAATAGAGACAAAATTAAATATATTCTCTTCTCTAGATAAAAGAATCAGTTTAACCATCTCTGCTTCTCTTTGTTGTAGGGGATAATATATCATTCATTCTCATATTTTCAAATCTAGTCAATAATATTTTACAAACTTTGGAATATTATTCAGCATTACTTAAAGAACCCAAGGACATGCATAGTCATACATATAAAACTAACTTAAAGCTTTCTATCAGCACATATATCAAACTTTTAAAAATCCATCCATTAGGTCACTCCCTCCATCTTATCTTCATAGCATAGAGCAGGGGTGTCAAACTTAATTTCATTGAGGGATGCATCAGAGTTGTATTTGACATTGGGGGGCTGGGGTGGGCGTGGCCAGCTCGACAAAATTCATGTTGGGGGTGCCTGTGGTGGCCCGAACACTCTGCCAGTGAAAATGGGTTCTGTTTTCAGCTGCGACTGCCTCCTGCAACTATCTGCCAGTAAAAACAGAGCTCAGGAGTGCCGGATGCAGCCTTCGCAAGCTGTTTTCGCTGGCAGAGGTACCGTGGGCTGGTCCTTTGGTGTTTCCAAGATGGCCTTACAGGCCAGATCTAAGCACCCTGTGGGCCAAATCCACACCCCCAGGCCTTGAATTTGACACCTATTTGGTTCTGCAACCCAACAAGACAGACTTCAGAGGATAATTAGAACTGCAAAAAAAACCAATTACTACCAACCTGCCTTCCATTGAGGACCTGTATACTGCACAAATGAAAAAGAGGGCTGTGAAAATATTTGCAGACCCCTCACATCCTGGACATAAACTGTTTCAACTCTTACCCTCAAAACCTCACTATAGAGCACTGCACACCAGAACAACTAGACACAAGAACAGTTTTTTCCTGAACGCCATCACTCTGCTAAACAAATAATTCCCTCAACACTGTCAAACTAATTACCAAGTCTGCATTACTACTAATCTTCTCATTGTTCCTATCACCCATCTCCTCCCACTTATGACTATATGACTGTAACCTTGTTGCTGGTATCCTTAAGATTTATATTGACTGTTTCTCTATGACTATCATTAAGTGTTGTACCTTATGATTGTATATAGATGAATGTATCTTTTCTTTTATGTACACCGAGAGCGTATGCACCAAGACAAATTCCTTGTGTGTCCAATCACACTTGGCCAATAAAGAATTCTATTCTATTCTATTCTATTCTATTCTATTCTATTCTATTCTATTCTATTCTATTCTATTCTTCTAAAGAAATCAGATCTTTTTTCTTGAAAAAGTTTTCAGCTTTATTTATATCCATGAAAAAAACCTCCTAAATTGTTTTGTTAGACGATGTAAATTAGTCTGAAGCAAATCTCCCTAGAGTAAAGTTCCTTCACTGAGATGGCTATAATATCTTTTTTTCTCAAAGAATTCTCGACCTTGTTAGTATTCATAAAGCAATAGTCTCAAACTTGACCTCTTAAGAATTGTGAATTTACTTGATACTCTTATTTCAGTCACACTGGGACGGATACACTCGCACCATCGTCATAAGAACTGATGTCAGATTTAAATTCTGAAATTAGATTATTTGCATTATCCAGTATTTGTAAAGTTGGCACAGTTGGTTGATAATTTTCTACACCTAATTGTGTCTCTTGTTCTATTTTAATATCCTCTGTGTAATTAGTATATTTTGACTGATTCATGAAATGACAAATCTTTTTAATAACAGATACCAGCTCAGAATTAGGCATCCTCATAGTTCCCTCTAGTAGTCAAAGACATTTATTTATTTGTCTGCTTGTTTGTTTTTCTTTTTTCTGGCCAATCGGAGTCCTTAAAAATTGGCAGATTTTAACTACCCAAAACAAAACAATACAATACAGAGTTAATTTTAAAATAGTAGGTTAAAGCCATAATTTAAATCCTTATATTTCAAGAGAAAGAATACTTCATGCTTCCTTATTTTGGCTACCTCTAGCAATCTTCTCCCTGTTGCTTAATAGTAAAGAAGTCTCAAAAATGATGTTCAAAGGTTCAAAAAGGAGTAATAAGCTGTAACTAAAGAAAATCTTTTTTTAGCTTGTAATGGTAATAGTCTCATAAATTGTTTAAGAAATGAAGGGCACGGCTTATTGTCCATTTGAAAAATAAATTCCAAAATGGCTGTTTTATCCAACAACAATGTGATTTCGACCCTGCCTCCCAGCTTCAGCTCACCAGTTGTTCTGGAAGTTCGGCTTCTAAAACTGCTTGCAGGCTGTTGCTGTTATTGGAGGATCTTAAGGGATGATTCTGGGACTTTCCTTAACCTCGGAGAGTCAAGTAGACAAAAGGAAGCCTGTTCTTTCTATTGTTGAGTTGGAAAAACGACAGTCCAGAGAGAGGAGATCCTCTGAGTGTGTTAGTTGCCGGCCATGAGTTACAATTCCAAGACCTTTGGAGACCACCAAAATAGAGAAGTCTTCTGTAAAACATGTGAAATATTATATAATGGTCACTTCTACAATTCCTTGGTTTTGTTTTTTCAAAAACAAAAAAACAAAATTTTCTGTACATAAATAAATGCCGATGGTTGAAGCAATAATAAAGGTAGCATCAAAGTAGCTTCAAATGTTTTTTTGCCAATAGAATTTATTGAGAGTAATCTTAAATATATTTCATTTCCGTCTATTATTTCTGTATGAACTTGTGTTAGGGCTTCATGGTCTACAACATAGGTGTCAAATTCGATCGTGTCACGTGATGTATCTTGATATATCGCAACATTTTTTTGCCTTTGTGGAGCTGGGATAGCCGTGGCCTGTATGTAACGCATCTGGCCCACGGGCTGCCAGTTTGACAGGCCTGGTCTAAGGGCATGGATATCTCTCTGCCATTATTTTGTGAAATAAAACACATTTTACTGTGACTTGTGATTCAGCACATTATCCTATTTTCCTCATACAGGTATTAAAAGGCCTGAATCTGCAGATCAATAATGGACAAACAATAGCCCTGGTGGGCAGCAGTGGTTGTGGAAAAAGTACAACGGTCCAACTGATACAAAGGTTTTACGATCCCTTGGAAGGCATGGTAAGATATTTGAAGCCATCTAGGATACCTGGAACATATTTTATATTAAATATCAGATAATGCTGTGCAACGCCCGGTCCATGGTAAATAAAGCCCCCCTCATTTGTGATCTTGTTCAGGAGGGGGGAGCGGACCTGGCGGGTTTTACGGAGACTTGGTTGGGCCAGGAGGGGGGGTTCCCCTCGTTGAGATGTGCCCACCCGGTTTCCGCGCATTCCATCAGCCGAGGACACAGGGGAGGGGAGGGGGGGTGGCGGTTGTCATTAGAGAAGGTCTTGGTCCGAGGGAGGTCACTGTTCCTCAGACGGCTGGTTGTGAGTCCCTCCTTGTGAAGTGGGGTCATGGGGTGCAGATGGGTGTGCTGGTTACGTACCTGGCTCCCTGCCACGTGACGGCAGCCCTGCCCGAGCTGCTCAACGTTATAGCCGCGGTGGCGGTTGACACCCCCAGGCTTATGGTCATGGGGGATTTTAACCTGCCATCCGTCGGTGAGGCGTCTGAGGTGGCTCGGGAGTTCATGGCTTCCATGACGGCCATGGACCTGACCCAGTTAGTTCATGGCCCTACTCACACGGGGGGAAACACGCTAGACCTGGTTTTTGTCTCTGGTCAGTGGTTGAGTGATCTTGAGATAGGGGATATAGTGATCGAGCCCTTGTCATGGTCAGATCACTCCCTCCTTCGCTTTGACCTTCGAACCGCCGCACCCCGCCGCAGGGAGGCAGAACCACTGAGGTGGTACCGCCCCAGGCGCCTGATGGATCCTGATAGGTTCCAGACGGAGCTTGGGCCATTTCCTGAGGCTCTGGCACACGGCTCGACTGAGGAGCTGGTGGCCGCCTGGGATAGGGCGGCCGCTGGAGCTTTGGATCGGGTCGTGCCTTTGCGGCCTCTGACCCGGCGTCGATCTCGCCTGGCTCCTTGGTTCACCGAGGAGCTGAGGGAGATGAAGCGCCGGAAAAGACGCCTGGAGAGTGGTTGGAAGGCCAGCCATTCTGAATCTGACCGAACACTGGTAAGGTCTCATATTAGGACCTACCTGGTGGCGATAAAAGTGGCGAAGTATAACTATTTTGCCACTCTTATTGCGTCATCAGATAATTGCCCGGCTGCCCTGTTTAGGGTGACCCGCTCCCTGCTCCACCAGGAAGCGCGGAAGGACCCCTTGGAGGGTAGAGCCGAGGATTTTGTACAGTATCTGTATGACAAAATCGCTCAGATTCGGGAACATCTGGACTCTGACTGGGTAGATTCAGCAGGGAGGACAGAGGCAGGTCTTGTGAGTATTATCTGGGAAGAGTTTGATTCTGTGACGCCCGAAGACGTGGACAGGATACTGGGCAGACTGAGCGCAGCCACATGTTTACTGGACCCGTGTCCCTCCTGGTTGGTGCTGGCCTCTCGGGAGGTTACACGAGGCTGGCTCCAGGGGATTATAAATGCTTCCTTGAGTGAGGGTGTCTTCCCTGCCGCCTTGAAAGAGGCGGTGGTGAGGCCTCTCCTCAAGAAACCTTCCCTGGACCCGGCAGTGTTGGCAAATTATCGTCCAGTCTCCAACCTTCGCTTCATTGCGAAGGTTGTTGAGAGTGTGGTAGCGCGACAGCTCCCCCAGTACCTGGATGAATCGTCGTATCTGGATCCGTTCCAGTCGGGCTTCAGGCCTGGGTACAGCACGGAAACGGCATTGGTCGCGTTGGTTGATGATCTCTGGAGGGCTCGGGACAGGGGTTGTTCCTCTGTCCTGGTCCTATTAGACCTCTCAGCGGCTTTTGATACCATCGACCATGGTATCATGCTGCACCGGCTAGAGGAGTTAGGGGTGGGGGGCACCGTCCTACGGTGGTTCTCCTCCTTTCTCTCTGACCGGTCGCAGTCTGTGTTGACAGGGGGGCAGAGGTCGACCCCGAGGCCCCTTGTATGTGGGGTGCCACAAGGGTCGGTCCTCTCGCCCCTTCTGTTCAACATTTATGTGAAGCCGCTGGGTGAGATCATCCGTGGTTTCGGGGTGAAGTACCACCAGTACGCTGACGATACTCAGCTGTACATCTCCACCCCGGACCACCGCAATGATGCCCTTGAAGTGATGTCCCGGTGCCTGGAGGCCGTGCGGATCTGGATGGGGAGAAACAGACTCAGGCTCAACCCATCCAAGACCGAGTGGCTGTGGTTTCCGACATCCCGATATAGTCAGTTGGCGCCATCACTGACTATTGGGGCCGAGTCATTGCCCCCCACGGAGAGGGCTCGCAACTTGGGTGTCCTCCTGGACTCACGGCTGTCTTTAGAAGAGCATATGACGGCCGTGGCCAGGGGGACTTTTTATCAGGTTCGCCTGATTCGCCAGTTGCGTCCCTTTCTGGATCGGGACTCGTTAAATACGGTCACTCATGCTCTTGTCACTTCCCGCTTGGACTACTGCAATGCTCTCTACATGGGGCTCCCCTTGAGGAGCACCCGGAGGCTCCAGCTGGTCCAGAATGCGGCCGCGCGGGTGGTTATGGGAGCGACGTGGCGCTCCCATGTGACCCCCCTCCTGCGCGAGCTGCACTGGCTCCCGGTGGTCTTCCGGGTGGGCTTCAAGGTTTTGGTTACCACCTTTAGAGCGCTCCATGGCATCGGACCGGGGTATCTACGAGACCGCCTTCTGCTACCAATAGCCTCTCACCGACCAGTACGCTCCCATAGAGAGGGGCTCCTCAGGGTGCCGTCGGCCAAACAGTGTCGACTGGCGGCCCCCAGGGGGAGAGCCTTCTCTGTGGGGGCACCTACCATCTGGAACGAGCTCCCCCCAGAGATACGGAAGATCCCGGACCTGCCCCCGTTTTGCCGTGCTCTCAAAACTTTTCTATTTCAGCAAGCTGGCCTGGCCTAACTCCCCTCTTTTAAATTCTTAAATTTTAAATTTTTTAATTCGTGATTTTATAAATTGGGTGTTTTAATCTGTGTTTCGGCCGAAATATTTAATAATTTTAAGGGATTTTTAATATTTGTATTGTCTGTATTTTATCTTGGCTGTTCACCGCCCTGAGTCCTTCGGGAGTAGGGCGGTATAGAAATTTGATTAATAAATAAATAAATAAATAAATAAATAAACTTTCCATAGGCAGGGAAAGAAAATATTATGCCAGAATGAGTACAGTACCTGAAGTCAAACAGGTGGTGGCAGCATTGGAAGCAAGACTTGGAATGATATCAGATACTGTAATCAGAGTGCTTGATAGTGTTTGAGACTTATTTTATTCACCAAATTCATGATATCAGGTAGTCCCAGGAAGAGCGGGATATGAGAATGAAAGAGGAGATCTATATACCATTTATGTTGCTGGAATAATAACTAAAGGGATTTTTTTAACGCTCAAATGCCTTGTGTGTCTAATCACACTTGACCAATATAGTATAATTATTCTATTCTATTCTATTCTATTCTATTCTATTCTATTCTATTCTATTCTATTCTATTCCATTCTGTGCTGTTCTGTGCTGTGCTGTGCTGTGCTATGCTATGCTATGCTATGCTATGCTATGCTATGCTATGCTATGCTATGCTATGCTATGCTATTCTTCTAAGGGTTTTTTACTTGGAAATCCTAACTTAGTTTGATATGGTAACCATTTTGCAAACAGTGTAGAAGGAAAATGAAAAAAAAAAGTACTTTGGAAAACATATGAAATACAGAAAAGCCTTTCTAAACATTAACTTCAATCTTCGTCAGTCACGATATTTATCCAGAGTTCTTGGGAAATTAAATTATAGATTAATACTAATAAGATATATTGATTGGAAAATTAATGTATCCTAATTTTTATTGCTGATTATCTGGCCGCTTTAGTTAAACATTAAAAATTAAACATTGTTTTATTTTCTAGACTGTTTTAAGAATGGCTATGTCCTCAAAAGTATTTCAGATAAGAATAATAAACATTTCTATGAATTATACAATAGTCAATGTAAATAATACCAGAGCATTTTTCTTTTGTTTTTGAAATATTTAATCATATTCTTGTAAAACAAAGAACTTAAAAGTAGAATACAATAAAATCTATTCTAATTATTAAAATAACTCATATAATATCACCAAGAATAGGATAAAATAAAATAAACAATTTTTGCTTTGTTTTAGATTACCATTGATGGACAAAATATTAAGACCCTGAATTTAAGGTATCTGAGGGAAATTATTGGTGTTGTGAACCAGGAACCTGTACTATTTGCCACAACAATTGCAGAAAACATTAGACATGGCAGTGAAAATGTCACCATGGAAGAGATGGAAAAAGCTGCCAAAGAAGCCAATGCTTATGAGTTCATCATGAATTTACCTGATGTGAGAAAATATATAATTATTGCCTTTGGGTATTCTAATATCTTAAGATACAGTGCTTTGTAGTGTTTTAAATTACAGTGGACATGCAGGAAGCATAAGAAGAATAACATTAGCATTACAGTTCCCAGCAAATATAGTAGTTATAACCTCAAGCTGTCTGGAAAACAGGTAGTGGGGAATTTACTAACCTAAAGCCATGTGTATTTTTCATTTATTTCAGCTTTATTTAAGATAATACACTAATAGCATCAGTAAACCTACATGGAGCCCTTGAAAACCTTTCATAGGAATGGAAATGGTAATCCAACCCAGTTTCCTGGTACCATCAGATGATAATCACAATGGTATAATTTCCAAGCACAATAGCTGAGCGAACTGGAATTATGGGAATTATAATCTAGTGGTGAAATGCTACCAGTTCGCACGAACCGGTAGTGATAAAAGCTACCGATTCAGGTGAACTAGTGGTAAAAAAAAGCTACCGTTCAAACCGGTATTTCCGACGATCAGCTGTGCCGTGCGATTTATATTCACTAGAAAGCAGGAAACCCTGCTTTCTAGTGAATCTAAATCGCGGGGCACAGCTGTGCCCCCCCTTCGCTGTTCTACTTACCTTGTTAAGCATTCTTTTTCCACGCATTTGGTGTACAGTGTGCAAGTACGTGCGTGCAGCATGCATTTGGCGCACACTGCGAATGCACACGCAGCATGCCTTAGGCACACACTGCACATGCGCACGTGCAGCATGTGTTTAGTGCGCATGCCAGGCAGCAAACTGGTGGCAATCCACGGAGGATTTCACCACTGCTATAATCAATATATGTGGATATGTTGACCAGATCATGGAAGACTGCTCTGTATTACCTGTGTTTACACACTGCTAATCCAGTTTTCCTTTAGCTTTAGTTACAGTACTGAAAAGCCCAAATGGTAAGGTTTTTGCTACATTGGTATATGGACAGCATGTGGACACCAAGCATCATAAGAGAATCAGCACCAGTTATTGGACTAGAACTGGGGAGACCCAAATTCAAGTCAACCTTGGAAACTTACTACTTTGAGCCAGTTAAACTCTCTTAGTCTACCTTATCTCACAGAATTATGGAGGGGAGGGAATTGAAGGAGGTAGATCTGCATATATTATTTTAAACTCCTGAAGGAAAAAAGGGATATAAATAAAGTAGGTTATAGTCTACTTTATCAAATGCCTTACTGAAGTCCAAGTAAATTATATTGACAGTGTTCCTCTGGTCCACTGCTACTAGATAAAATAGAAAAATGTGGGTTAGACAGCATCACCATCCAGATGGATTCGTAACTGGCTGACCAACCAAACTCAACATGTAGTCCTCAACAGAACTGCATCTACATGGAGGGAAGTATGGAGTGGGGTACCCCAAGGCTATGTTTTAGGCTCAGTACTCTTCAACATCTTCATCAATGATTTGGACGAGGGGATAGATGGGGAACTCATCAAATTTGCAGACGACACCAAGCTAGTAGGAATAACTAACACTCCAGAAGATAGGCTCAAGATACAGAAGGCTCTTGACAGACTTGAACATTGGGCGCTATTTAACAAAATGAAATTCAGTGGTGAAAAAAGTAAGGTTCTACATTTAGGGAAGAAAAACAAAATGCACAGGTACTGAATATGTACCTTGCTCAATAGTAGTAATTGTGACAGGGATCTTGGAGTCCTAGTGGACAATCATTTAAATATGAGCCAGCAGTGTGCAGCCGCCGCCAAAAAAGCCAACATAGTTCTGGCCTGCATCAACAGAGGGATAGAATCAAGATCATGTGAAGTGTTAATACCACTTTATAATGCCTTGGTAAGGCCACACTTGGAATACTGCATCCAGTATTCCAGTTTTGGTTGCCACAATGTAAATAAGATGTGGAGATTCTAGAAAGAGGACAGAGAAGAGCAACAAAGATGATTAGGGGACTGAAAGCTAAAACATATGAAGAACGATTGCAGGAACTGGGTATGTCTAGTTTAATGAAGAGAAGGACTAGGGGTGACATGATAGTAGTGTTCCAATATCTTATGGGCTGCCACAAAGAAGAGGGAGTCAAGCTATTCTCCAAAGCACCTGAGGGCAGGACAAGAAGCAATGAGTGGAAACTAATGAAGGAGAGAAGCAACCTAGAACTAAGGAGAAATTTCCTGACAGTTAGAACAATTAATCAGTGGAACAACTTGCCTCCAGAAGTTGTAAATCCGCCAACACTGGAAGTTTTTAAGAAGAGATTGGATAACCATTTGTCTGAAGTGATGTAGGATTTCCTGCCTAGGCAGGGGGTTGGACTAGAAGACCTCCAAGATCCCTTCCAGCTCTGTTATTCTGTTCTGTTAAAACAAATATGCTATTACAATTCAGTTGCAGAAGAAGAATGGCTACTTTTTTTAGCCCATGTTTGGTATTATGGTGCCTGGTAGACATATAATATATCATTATATGATATGCTTCTGGGAAGTGCTATACTCCCACTCCTAATAGTCCCCAAAATATTTTAAAAATGAACAAAACAATTTCAGCTATGCCCTTTCTGATGACATCATAAAAATTAATGGATATCCTGCTGTAGCTCTTCAGAAGGACAGGAGCCTAGGTTCTGCTTCCCATCTCTTTCAAAAGGTACCCATCAATGCACTAGGTCCGTGTTGGCGAACCTATAGCACACGTGCCGGAAGTGGCATACAGAGCCATTGTTCCAGGCACGCAAGCTGGTCCCAAGCTCACCTGAAACTGCGCATGCGCAATTCAGCTGGTCTTCGGAGCTCTCCTGCGCATGCTTGTGTGTTTGCTCATGCGCATGAGATGATTGGTGCACAGTGCATAATGCACAGACAGCATTGTGCACTGCAAAAGCTGTGTGCATATGCATATAGTGAGATTCCATACACAGGATGTGCTAGTGTGCCTGCATGAAAGCTCTGTGCATGCACAGATGGTGCGGTTGCGCACGAAGCACATGGGGAGGAGCCACACGTTACCACAATGGCATGTGAGTGTGCGTAGCGCGCACAGCACTTTCCTGTTTGGCACTTGATAAGTAAAAGGTTCACCACCACTGCACTAGGCCATTGTTTTTCAAACTTGGGAACTTTAAAATGTGTAGAACAACTCTCAAAATTCCCCAGTCAGCCTTGCTGGTTGGGGAGTTATGAAAGCTGGTCCACACATCTCAAAGTTCCAAATTTGAAAAACTTTGCACTAGGTCATTCATGATGTATTAGCAACTTTTGCACTAAAATGTCTCAAATAGACATACACAATTAAAATAAAAAGCATTCTTGAAATCTCCTGACATTTTAAGATTACCACTGATCATTGCAGAGGTTTTGAAAGCTCTGTATTATTAACCATATTTTTATACCATAGGGCTAATTTCATGCAGCACATTCAGCTAAAAGCAAAGAAACCCTTTTATGGCTTAATGTGATTTGAGTTTTGCTATTGTGATTTGTAAGTTATGGTTTATGGATTAGTGTTCTGAATTAAGCCCTGTAGGTTTATTTAACATATCAAGGTTCAATCAAATAAGGATTTATAAATCAGTTGATAATATCAACCATGAGGTTACTAGCATTACGGAGATGAGAAAACATTCTCTAAATTATCAATATTTTGTTCAGATTTTCTTTCTTGCTATTGAATATAGGGTGTGTTTCTTTTTATTCATTGATTTGCTGCTTATTTTCAATTGAAATGTTGTAACAACCATACTGATGCTACCCTTGATGCCAATTTTACTACTGATTCTAAGTTATGAAGTTAAATGTGTTTTGTGGTTGCTCTGCAGAAGTTTGAAACTGTGGTTGGTGAAAGAGGAGCACAGCTAAGTGGAGGACAGAAGCAACGGATAGCGATTGCCCGGGCTCTTGTGCGCAACCCAAAAATTTTGTTACTGGATGAAGCTACGTCCGCTTTGGATACAGAAAGTGAAGCCATCGTACAGGCAGCTTTGGATAAGGTCCTTAAAACTGAAACTGAACCTAATATATTAAAGGAAGGGGCAGTGGGGGGAAGTTGGTAAAAAGAAAAATCTGACTATTAACAGTGAGTTGCAACACTTCATTTGCCCAATGAGATCTTCCCTCTAGTCTCCTATTCCTCTTTGAAACCTTCTGCTAAGAGTTAGCAATATTCATAGAAATTAAAGTTGGGCTGCAGAGAGGAGATAATGTGAAGATCAGGTGCCCAAGACTTTTATTTCTCATTATAACTTGTTTTCACTGATACCTTCTTTAAATAGAGTTGACTTAAAAGAAACAATTCATTACTTGTTTGGAAGTTACATCAATAGTATTGATTGGATTTGAAGAAGTATTCATCCAAATCAATGGGCAATTCTGCCTGAACACAATGGAAGTATTAAACATACAAATTTGGACAGCATCATATTGGGAGAAAAAATTCCAACAATTGTACCTTAGAATTTCCAAAATGTATGGCTGATATGTTTTTTTCCCCAAAAGCTGAGGAGTAAAAAGGTTTAATGTGTTCTCTAGAGGTGGGAGACTTAAAACAGGTCAACTCATTGTAAACAAAGTCCTTGTTTAATAAGATAACTGGCAGCAAATTTTAGGCACAGATTAACAAAAGATCTCCTTTGAGTCAAGTTCACCTTGTAGTGACTTCACGGACACATTCATGCAGGGTTTTTAAAATAAAAAACAGAGAAGTAATTTGGCATTTTTTCCTAGATTAATGTATAGCTCAAATATGTAATCTCCCATCCAAGTACCAATGAAATCTACCTCTGATTAGCTTCCCACAATCATATGTTAAGGCCTATATATTCACAGGATAATATAATGACAAAGATTTTGGCAGGAAAGTAATGAAGGCTTAATACAGGGGTGTCAAACTTGTGTTGTCATGGCATCATCACGTGATGTATCGGGAGTTTTCCCCCCTTCACTAAACTGGGCGGGGGTGGGGCCAACACATGAAGCATCCGGACCACGGGCTGCGAGTTTGACACCCCTGGCTTAATACCATGATGAAGATAGCTAACTGTAACTTCTTTGCAATAGTGGTGAATTTAATATAAATATATATTTATATAAAATATAAATATAATATAAATTCTTTTTTGCCATTTTTTTCATTACCATCAATCATGAAATATAACCAAGGAAACTTTCAGAAAAAAATAGATTCCAACCAACAAGCTAGATTGCCTGCTTGATTATTGTCTTGGAGATTTGGATTTAGTTTTATGGCCTATTCACTTTTCTGTTTAGTGCAAATATTTATTCATGAAGTGCCAGTATAGCCATTGCTTTAACAAAAGGTTAAAAGGCAAAAGGCATGAAGGCTTCAGTCTAATTATATTAAATATTAAAATAAAGCAAATGAACATCTCATAGTTTAAATTGAATCTGGATATGTCTTTCAGGCAAGAGAAGGCCGCACAACGGTTATAGTAGCTCATCGTTTATCTACAGTCCGAAATGCAGATCTTATAGTTGCTTTTGAAGATGGGGTCATTAGTGAGCAAGGAACCCATTATGAGCTTATGAAAAAGAAAGGAGTTTATTTCAAACTTGTCAATATGCAGGTAGGCATCAATTTGTTCATATTTTTTTCTTTTTCTTTCTTTCCTTTGAAGATTTAAGCTCTCTGGAATGCACACTATAATTATTTCCTGTTTAAATCTTTTTGCCTGCCATGTCCCCATAATTTTGCCTTCATTTTGTATCCAACTCAAGGATGAGATTCTTTTATGCTTTAGGTTGAGAGACAGCTGAAACATGGGTAAAATCTGTAGGATCAGAATGCTGATTATTGACATTTTACAGCTGATGGAGGCCCTCCATTTTCTATCAGTGTCTGGTTAGAGTCATCTCCCTCCATTCTGCCATAGCCTCATTAAAAAACTGGATATAGCAATACTGTGCCAAGAGTCTGTGCAGATTATGCTGTTTACTAGACTCAGCCAGTCTCTATAGACCTTCACCTAAGATTGGATCAGTAAAAAAGCAGAACAATATAATGTTAGAAAAGAATGAAATTGAAATAACATAAAACATTGAAATGATGGAACCAACCCTTCTCATGGTCTCTCAAACAGAGGATGGAGGAATTCAAAAGCAAGTCAGAGCTAATACAACTGGATAATTTTGTGTCCATTTATTTTTCTTCTGGATGAATGGCTAACTTTTTAACTCAGTGATAGGGAAAGTTTCAAATGCAAATAGAAAAAGATTCTGAATGGCTTTTCTAGGGCCCAAGTTGTTTGTTTTTCCTGAGTGAGCAGGCTTTGAAACAGTAGAGGGCTAAATCCACCCTCCATTTTTAATTACAAAAAAATATTATAGGTTCCACATAGGATTTCAAACAGCAATTGATCAATCAGGCAAATGTTGGATGCTGCTAGTTTCCTACTGTGGTGGCCAGTTCTATTTTACAGCCAGGGTCATTTTGTGGTCTGAAGAATGTCTCCCCAGAGATGCAGGATATATTATTCACAGATGAAAGAATAAAATGAGACAGAACTTATTACAAGTAAATAAGAGGGAGGGAGGGAGGGAGAAAGAAAGAAAGAAAAAGAAAGAGAGGATAATTATTGTTTTACAATATTAACATCTATTACTGAATTTCTGAGAATAAAGCAAATAAAAATTTATCCCAAATAGCATTAATACATTTCAACTGGGCTCTATAGTCCAGGCATTATTTGGAGATATAAAATCTTTTTTGTCACTTCATCCTGTTTGTTCAGGCAGTTTCCACTGAAGTTGAATCAGAAGAGACAGCAGAAGAAGAATTCCAGCTGAAAAATAACCCAGAAGAGATAAGCAAAGATGCTTTTTCAAACAAGCTGAGGAGACGTTCTACTCGCAGAAGTATTAAAAATCCAGAAATGGAGGAAAAAGACCTTGAGGTCCAGACAGTTCAGCCTGTAAGTCTTTTGGGTTTAGAATTTTGGATCTCAGGGATAAGTTGTTAATTGTATTTTGTTTCTACAGCTGGAATCTGCAACAAATTGTTCTACTAAAGAACATTCCTATTTATTGTTCCAGTCAGTCAACAGAACCTGTTGTTGAGGTACTCTATCTGGTTTTCCCATCCAGCCATTGGTTTTCCCATCCAGCCATTCCAAATAAGCATACTTAGTTTTCATCGGGGTCATTCACAGCTTTTTTTTTTCTTTTTACAAGTTTTGATGCATTTTTTGTAGACATTGTGCATGGTGTTGCTGCTTTGACTGCCCCAGACTGTGAAAGGGGACAGGGCCTCAATGCAGGGCTAGGAGTCCAGCCCCTCCCTTGGCTTAAAACCCAAGCATTGAGTTTTGCTTTCATTTTTAGCCAAAAATATGCATATCAATGATGCATGCCATACAAAATGACCTAAAGAATAGAATTGAGACCTGCAAGTTTGTCTTCAAGCTATGCTGGTGGAACTTGCAAAGACTGTTGGGCACATGCAAACTTTTGAAATGTGGGAGATGGGAAACAATGTTATGATATTAATTTTAAAAACTGCATCTGTGTGTCTGACAGCACATATGTATATATATGTACGTGCATGTATGCATGGAATCCAGTGAATAAATATGCTAGATTATGTTTCATCTCTTTCCATATTCTAGGATAAAAATATTCCCAAGGTTTCATTTCTTAAGATTATGAAGTTAAATGCATCAGAATGGCCTTACTTTTTAGTGGGAACGTTTTCTGCTCTGGTCAATGGAGCACTGCAGCCTGCATTTTCAGTAATATTCTCAGAAATCATAGGTGTGAGTATTTGATATATATAATAAATTTTATACTATTTCCATGTCATCATACGATAGGTTCTACTTTCAATATTCATTCCTATCCCATGATTTAAACCAGTGTTGAATCTTCAAAAAGGTATCTTTAAAAATATGGGATAATCCTTAAAAGAAATTATCTCTGCGCTCATATTTGCGAACTGGTAGGGAAGGTAAGTGAATCCCACCTCTGTATGTATCCAAATAACATATATAACAAACATATACACACACATATAGTTATACGTAAATGATCTGTAAATACAAGTATGCATATGTTTTGATGCTTATTTAATGACCACTCATTCAATGACTATTCAAAGTTACAACAGTACTAAATGAGTGGTAGTTACAACCAATCTTTATACTTACAGTTGTTGCAGTGTCCCTGCAGTCATGTGATTACAATTTGTGATCTTCCCTGCTGGCTTCCCACAAAGTCAGTGAGGAAGTTGGCAGGAAGTTGCCAGTCATAATCTTGTGAAGTCCTGGTCTAATGGTCCTTACTAGGACTCCTGGAATTGCTGTTACTAAGGAATAGATCACATTTGATTTAACAATTGTGTCATTTAACAATGGAGATTTCAGTCCCAATTATGTAATATTGTTAAGATAGGATTACCAAACACACACACACACACACACACACACATATATACACATATAATTCTTTTATAGGAGAATTTTGTGTACAGCAGCATGTGAGATTTGTTGGATACTGGTACATATTAATTCTTCTGTGGGATTATACTATGGATACAAAATTGTACTCTTTTTATGTATTATTAAATTAAATTGTTAATATAATGTTGGTAGTTGTACCTTTTATTTTAAATAATTTCTATTTGAAAATTTCCCTTTTATATATAACCCATATATTCTAGATCATATTTTTATTTTCTATGGCAGTGATTATCTTCTCTAATGCTGGTCAAAGACCTTAATAAAGGATTGTGAGATGAAGGAATGTTATATAAACTATATATGGGGCAGATATAGTTGTGGAACTCTCCTGTAATAAAAAATAAAAACACACCAAAAAACTAAGGCCACCTGTTGGCCAATTTTTTCTTTTCATGGAAAATATGTAATATACTCTTTGATAGTTTATAGAAATTCTCTCCTTCATGGTTAAAACTGACTCTTTTGAGCAAAGGATTAGTGCTCTTTTAAAAGTGTGTTAAACCTAAGAACTGGCCAATGCCCATGTATTTAGGCAGCCCACATAATAATTGCCTGGTGCCTTTCAAAATACCAGGTAGGCATTAGGCAGGTAAATAAAAGACAGGCATCTCATTCTTTCCTGAAGCACCTGCCAAAATGCCTCGGGAAAGTAATGCCAATTATTGCCAGGGAATGTACCAGCCATAGGAGCAGTGGTGGGTTTTAATTTTTTTTTTATTACCGGTTCTGTGGGCATGGCATGGCTTGGTGGGCATGGCAGGAGATGGATACTGTAAAATCCCCATTTCCTCCCAATCAGCTGGGACTCAGGAGGCAGAGAATATAAGGGGGCGGAGCTAGTCAGAAGTGGTATTTACTGGTTCTCTGAACTACTCAAAATTTCTGCTACCGGTTCTTCAGAACTGGTCAGAACCTGCTGAAACCCACCTCTGCATAGGAGAAAGTGACCAAGAAGAACTGGGTACTCAGCCACTGAGCCAATATTTTCAGTGAAGAGTTATGGATTATTATATTGGGAGAAGAAAGAAAGCTTTACTTTCAAACTAAAACAAATTTAATATTAATTTAAGCTGCCTTCAGACTGACTAGAATTGAGAATTGAACAATGTCATCGGACTTATCATTTAAAAAGTATTAAAAGAGGTTTTCATTTTGTAATTTACAGAACATGAAAAGTTATATTATCTAAGCAATATATAAAACTACGTTGGAAATGAATGAAATAAAACTAAGGCTGAAATTATTGTTTCCATAGATTTTTGCAATACAAGACCCCAAAATTGTGCGTGAAAAGAGCAATCTCTATTCACTGCTGTTCTTAGGAATTGGCATTGTTTCCTTCATCACCTTTTTTCTTCAGGTAGGTTTCATTGTTTTATTCTTATCATTTTAGATGGATTCTGAAAATATCCAGGAAGAAGAAAACTCAAGGAATTTCTACCAATTTAGAGGCAGATTAGTAGTGGGTTCCTCTTACCTTCACTACTGGTTAGGAACTGGTAGCACACACACAAGCATGCTTGCTTTGCTCGCACACGGTGCTTCTGCACAGAGTGTCCATGATGGCGGCGGCGGCTGCTGCCACTACCGGTTCGCCCGAACCAGGGCAAACTGGTAGAAACCCACCACTGAGGCAGGTCCAGACATTTGTGATCTTCAGATATATAGCATTCTAGAGCTATTATTAAATCAGGAAAAACAATAGTCTTTCTCATGAGGTTCTTTCGGTATATCTATCTGGTCTGAATCTTGGATAAGTTTCCTTATATTATGGGGAACTGTTTTGATGCTTGAGTGGAAAATTAGTGCTTTAATTATGGAAAGGAAAACATTGTGCTTGAGTCTTAATGTATTGAATTTAAATTATTCCACTGGCATTTTAAATTCTTCTTCTTCATGATAATTTAACGATCATTGAACCATGTAGCACACTATTAGTCTAATTAAAATGTAGATTCTACTAATGCTCTCTAATCATATTTACTTTAGGAAGCCAATTTAAGATGGAAAGGAAATGGTCCAAAAGGGGAAAGAGCTAAATATAAAGTCTGTTGGATTTCGGTGGAACAATTGTTTGCATAGGTTGCCACAGAATGTGTTCAAAAAAGGCAAGATAGTAGCTACAATGGTGCTATTGGAGCTTCATCAATTTTTTTATATGTGGAGCTCAAAAACCAACAGAGCATAAAAAACATTCTATGTTATTTTTATTTTGTTTTTACTATTCCCTCTGAATGTTTCTTTCTAGGAATTTTATTTTCTCTCCTTTGAAAAGAGCAATGTGGTGCTCTTCCATTTGGCTTTGTGTTGCTTTTATATTTGCTGCAATCAGGTACAACATTCTTCTCTTTCAGGGCTTCAGTTTTGGCAGAGCTGGAGAGATTCTTACAATGAAGCTACGTTACATGGGATTCAAAGCAATGCTTAGACAGGTATGCAGAAGAAATGCGCCCATTTTTTTGTTGCTTTTATATTATTTCAGCGCAATTAGTCATGGTTTGTTGTACATTCCAAAATGTATGATAATATACAAAACATGTATCCAAGGAGTAATGTGAATTATATTTCTTAAACAATGCTTTTCCTTATGGTATAATGGTATAATAAATCACTTTAATTTACTTTTACTTTAAATTTTAAAGTAGACTCCATGAAATGCACTTTGGGTTTTTTCTAAAGGCAAGTCTAACAATGGTTTAAATGTAAATGTCAGCCTTCTTATTTAAAAGTGTTAAAATTCACCACAGTTAGAAAGTTTCATATTTTATTTTTATTTTATTTGAGAAATTTATGTGGGTGCCCACTTGTTCACAGAGACTCTGGGTAGCTTATAAGCAGTTATATTATGATGACGATGATGATTTTAGAAATTAGCTATTTTATAGGGTTTCTACTGCAGGTATTGAAACAGAGTGTAGTATTGGTTAGGTGCTCGGCCAGGTTTGGAGAGATTCAAGTTAAAATCTAAACTTAGATGATTTAAAATCATCAGTAAATTTAAGTCTATTTCACCAAACTCTTGCTGTGGAGAAAAATATGGTAACATTATATATCTGTGTTAAATTCTACAAGGTAACATGATGTATAAACCTAAATAAGAAACACTGAATTAATATTCAAATGAACAATGCAAATTAGCAACATTACTTTCTGATGTCAATCAGTGGATATGTTGCACGATCTTTTGAAGGGGGATAAAAAATTAATTCAATTGGGTGGATTTTTTTTCTAAACATTTCCCATAGTAGGGAGCCTACTTCTATGAAACATTTAATCATGTGCTCTGTTGCATAAGTTTTTAAAAAGTGCTCTTTAGTTTTTGTTAATAACAATCCACTTTTTCTATTTATTTTTCATCATTTGGAGTATTTCTGTTTTTATGGCTTTCTTTTCTTCCTTCTTGGAAAAAATATCTAAAAAACTCATGTGAAACCATTATCATAGCAAAAGGTTTAATATGTTCTAAAGCCAAAGTGTGTTAATTACTTGAAATAATTTAAAAAGTTGAAAATTGAGGTAATTGTTTTAAATCCGTAAGTATGTAATTGGGAAAAGAACAAGAAGTCTTGTATAGCCTTAAAAGAAACCCACTAATCTTTCAATAGATAGTCACCCAAAAAAGAAAACTCTCATAAATTCATGAAAAGGTACCCTGTTTTCCCCAGAATAAGACATCCCCTGATAATAAGCAATAAGCAATAAGGGCAAGCACTTATTTCAGGGTTCAAAAAAATATAAAACAGGGTCTTATTTTTGGGGAAATATGGTATTATAATAATTATAATGCAGCATAGATTTTATCACAGCTTGATTCTATCTAAATTCTGATCTTTTATTTAATCTGATTTGAAATGTTTCATTTGAAAATAAATTGTTATTTGAAATGTTTTATAGGATATCAGTTGGTTTGATAATCCCAAAAACAGTACTGGAATTCTAACTACAAGACTTGCAAATGATGCTTCTGAAGTAAAAGGTGTAAGTAATAACACAATTCCAATCTGTTGACAGAGCTTTTTGATATTATCCAAAATAGAAATTTAACGATGGATTAACTATTTACTATGGCAAATATGCAAATATGAAGTTCCTAATGGATGTTTCAGAATTGTATCAGTCAGAAAGAACAGGAAGCAGAAAACAAAGTACATTTACTAAATTGTTTTAACATTCTTTTATTCCCGTCCCTTTCTCAGGCCACAGGGGAAAGGTTAGGTATGATTGCTCAGAACATTGCTAATCTTGGGACTGGAATTATTATATCATTGGTGTATGGCTGGCAGTTGACCCTTTTACTTCTGGCTCTTGTGCCAATCATTGCAGTAGCAGGGCTCATTGAAATCAGAATGTTATCTGGACATGCTAAGAAAGATAAGAAGGAACTTCAAGGTGCAGGGAAGGTAAGTTTTTGATCAATCATTCTCTTGAATAGCAAATTCAAATACGGGTGAACAAGCTGTACTGAAATCAAGAAATAAACACTTGATATATAAAATCTACTGGTAATCTTTCTTGATTCTCATTCAGGATTACATCTTCCAGTACTCAAGTTTACTAGTAGGGATTCTGGGAGTCCCTAATACAAATCAAAGTGTCAGGTTGGGGAAGATTAAATCCTAACAGAGGACTAATTGATTGACAAACTCCTGTTTGGGAATACACATTGTTCTTGCATCAAGTCTTGTTTAATTTGAGTATCTATTGTTTCCCTTTTTCTTGTATTTGGAAGAAAATCTTCAAGACAGTTATTAAATTTATCCTCTCTCCCAGGTTGTTCTCCAGGTCAAAGCATATTATAGTTTATCTCTTGCTGATGTTACAGCTTAATACTGCAACTAATCTCTCCCTTCATCATTTAGAATTAGAATGAGTTTTCCTCTGCCTCATCCTTAGAATGAGAATGAGTTTTTCTTTGACTCCCAATCCTGCACATAAAAACTATATATAAAAAAAAGAAGCAGCAAAAGACATTTACAATCAAGTTCTGGTGATATCAGAACATTATCAGATTTTGTCCAATAGCCCTTCAGAAGATCAGGAAATCAAAATGCAATCTCCTGCTCTTCAAAAACCTCTGCACCTGTATTAAGCCATAATTTTGGCTTAGTGTTATAAATCATAGTATTTGTGGCTTATTCAATAAAGCATACCTAATTTGTCCATGGATCAGTAAGATAAGTAATGCTCTGTCAATACTTACAACAGATACCTGGAAGTAACTGTGCTCTGGTTCCAAAAATAAAATTTGGTAGCAAATATATAAAACTATTTTGATATAGTATTAGACTAGAGTATGGTGTTGTTAGTTTTATGGGTTTTTTGCAAAGTTATTTTTTCCTCAGGGTGATGGTTTTAAAATGTCATACTGATATGTTAGGATTAGAAAATGCCAATTTGGTAAACGCTGTCCTAAAGCTAAAATTCAAATTGGAGAGTTCCTTATTTTCCTGTTACTACTGTATTTTTTACATTTTATAGATTGCAACAGAAGCTATTGGAAATATTCGAACTATAGTTTCCCTCACTCGAGAAAGAAAATTTGAACAAATGTATGGAGAAAATTTAAAAGGACCTTACAGGTAAAAAATATTAAAATGTCTTGCCAACATTTGAAAAACAATGACTTAGAAATCAAAGATTTTAATATAGCCTTTTCCAATATAGTGCCCTCCACTTGTAACAAATTACAACTTCTATCATCCTCTAGAACAGTGGTTCTCAACCTTTCTAATGCCGCGACCCTTTAATAGAGTTCCTCATGTTGTGGTGACCCCCAACCATAAAATTATTCCTAAAACCATTGAAAATATGTGTTTTCTGATGGTCTTAGGCGACCCCTGTAAAAGGGTTGTTCGACCCCCAAAGGGGTCCCGACCCACAGGTTGAGAACCACTGCTCTAGAAGGTTCCCTAAATATAGGTTTGTACCATATTAGGAAATAGTAGTATGAATTATTCGTATGGAATTCTGACAGATTTTATTTTATTGATAAATGTGTAGGAAATGTATCAGCACACAAAAAACCTAGCTTTTTTCCCATTTTTTGTTGCAGAAATTCTATAAAGAAAGCACATCTTCACGGACTAACTTTTGGCATTTCCCAAGCAATGTTGTACTTCTCCTATGCAGGCTGTTTTCGTTTTGGTGCCTATCTTATTGCGAATCGATATATGGATTTTAAGACTGTATTCTTGTATGTAACACTGCAATATTTAAAAAACTATTTCAATTGCAACTAGAATCACACCTTTGAAATTGTGATTGACTAAATGCCAGAATGGATGGCCTTGTTTGACAGTTAAAGCCTCGGGAGGAAGAGTAATGTTTATGTAGAATGAATGATCTACAAGGCAGGCACTTTAGAAAAATTCTGGAACCATGTGCAGCAAAAATTAACCAAAAGAATTAGTAACTTGATTCTTACAATAAATGGAAATCATTACCTAGACTATTCCTTCTTTGATTGACTATTTAAGGAGAGCAAAGGGTGTGTATTAAGAGTAAAAAAAATAGCATTCCTACATAAGGAATAAAATTTGGACATCAGGAATACTGAGCAACCATGAGATAAAAAGCAATACTGACCAATTTAAATTAATCTTTGAAAGTTGGGGAGCCACATCTCCAGAAAGAGCACTAATTGCTGTTCCCAACAATTGTTTAAGCATTTAATTAAAAGAGGAAATATACACAGTTCATGTTTCAGTTTCAGGTAGCTAATATTTAAGTTACTTTTTGCATGACTGATTTCAGGTTTTCCACATGCAGCCTTTTCCAGAATAGAATAGTAAATCATCTATAGCCGTGATGGCAAACCTATAGCATGTATGCCAAAGTGGCACACAAAGCCATGTCGCCCAACATGCGCGGACTTGCCTGTTGGTCTTCTGGGTTTCTGGTATGCGCACATGATGATCAGCTGTCCTTCGTGCATGCGGCAGTGCTAAAAACCGGTGTGCGCATGCACGCCGGCCACCTGATTGTTGGGTGTACATACGCACCAGAACCCAGAAGTTTGGCTTTTCCAGAGCACAATCTCTTCATGCGTATGGCAGTGCCAAAAACAGGCCTGCACATGCGCACTGGTCAGCTGATTGTTGGGCACACATGCATGCTAGAACCCAGAAATTCAGCCCCGATGAGTGTGAGCGCGACATTTCTGCGCGACCTTTTCAGTACTTGGTGCCAAAAAAGTTTGCCATCACTGATATATAGTATTATAGGACAGTGATGAACCCATGACATTACACAAAACACCTACAACAATTATTTTTAAAGCACGCTCCGTTCTTGTGCGATTTTGGGAGGCTGCATTAGAATGAAGGGTGAGAATGGGGTGTGCTCTTATGCAGCGTCCAGGACCTTCCACAATGAATTTATTTTACTTAGTTCATTTCATTAATTATTTGATGTTTCCTTATATAATACATAACACCACACATAATTGACTGCATTTTTTACAAAATAAATGAATATTAAAAAATAGTTTCTCTTTTGTTCCGTGTGTGTGTGTGTGCGTGCAATGACACACCAGCAGAGTCAAGTTAGGCATTTTCTGAATGTTTAACATGCTGAGTCAAAAAGCTTTGCCATTACTGCACTAGGTCAATCTTCCACAACCTGATCTCCCAAATGCATTAACAATATTATTCCATAAATTCCTAGCCATTGTGATAGCTTCTCATTAACAAAAAACACAATAATAAAATGTGCATGTAAATATTATCATAGCCCATCTCTTTAGTAATGTAATGTAATGTGTGTTTGTTCTGTTTTCTTATTTTGCTGTTACAGAGTATTTTCCTGCATTGTATTTGGTGCCATGTCTGTAGGGCAGACATTTTCATTCACACCAGATTATGCTAAAGCCAAGATATCTGCTGCTCAATTGTTCATGTTATTTGAAAGAGTCCCATCAATAGATAATTACAGTGAGGAAGGAAAGAAGCCTGTAAGTTGATTTTTGGACATAATTTCAACACTACTGTGAGGACAGTAGTTAATGAGCTATTTATTGCTAGATTCACAAGATAAATTTGTGCCATGTTATTCCCATACATGCCGTTTAATAAATTATCAGCCTTCTTTTCTTGGGCATAGAAAATGCCAACTTTCAATATATATAATGGCGTATGGAATTGTGCTATTGATGCAGTAATTATGATGCAAAAATCAAGATATTGCATTCTTCACATTATCTTACTGGTTTCTGTAATCCAGATTTGTTGATTTATTTAGTCCAGGTTTTGTTAAAATTGTTCAATTATCAGAATTCCTGACTAGAAATCTAAAGTTGTAAACCCAGCACATCTGTTCATTTAGAAATCATTCCTCAGTGCCATCTGGCTTCTGAGGCTATAATATTAAATTACAGTTCTTAGAAGGTATTAAAATATTGTTTTAATTAGAAGGTACCTATTAGGTACCAATTTAGCAAAGGAAAGTTACAAAATAACTTGGATAGTTAATACCACTAGAACTACTTGCTTTACTTTTGATATGTCTCTTTTATGTATATGTTAACCATTTGTCTTAACTGTATGAATGTTGTTTGGATTCTAGGAAACAGTTAATAGCAATATAGCATTTAAAGAAGTGGTTTTCAACTATCCAACCCGGCCAGATGTTCCAGTGCTTCAAGGTCTGAATATTGCAATAGAGAAGGGGCAAACCCTGGCGCTTGTGGGAAGCAGTGGCTGTGGGAAAAGCACATTAGTCCAGTTGCTTGAAAGATTCTATGATCCTCTCAGTGGAGAAGTGGTAAACTCATTTGGATTTTGCTTATATTGCTTTCAAAATTCAAATTAATGTAACATGATGCTAGATAATAAAACATTCCTACCCAGAATTGAACACTAGGTACCGAAATGTGGTACCATTTTATTTTTTAAAATATATTGTTATTTTCCCCTCTTTTGAAATTTTTAATATCTTTAGAAAAAGTGACCCTATTGGAATTCATGCTGTGGTATAGGAATGAAGAGTGAGGTCCCATCTCTTACTCTGGGTCATTGTCCTTCAAGCCTTTCCTGGAAGCACCCCCATGTCAAGAATAGCTTAGGGCAATTTAAGAAATGAGGAACTTGTGATTCTTGGGTATTATCTGTAGTTTCCATCCTCCTCCTTATATTGATTATGCTACCTGGAACTTAATCCAACAACATCTTCGACATAAAGTCATGTTGGAATGAGGTAAAATTTGATCCAAATATTTCCTTTTGTCCTTCTGTTTCATTCGTTCATTTGTTTCATTCAAATTATGCATTAAGTTGATCACATTTTCATCTTATTTCTTGTTGGATTTTCTGTCATTTTTGTAATGATTAATTGATTGATTAGATGCAATTTTCAACTCTTAGCAACTGTAGACATCAATTTTTCCTCATGACAATCTATCCATAACCTGTTCTTTGAAGTATCCTTACCATATACTCACTGCCATTGTAACTAAGTTCATTCACTTTCCAGCTGGTTGTCCTTCTTTCTTTTTTGTAAGGAAGAGCTTTCAGTATATCTGATAACATTTTTGAAGGCCAATATCCATTGTATATCACAAAAATCTCTGCCTCTAAGTTGTAATAACTCTCCTTTTTCAGCTTTTGGATGGTGAAAATGAAAAGCAGTTAAATATTCAGTGGTTGCGGTCTCAAATTGGAATTGTTTCTCAAGAACCGGTCCTGTTTGGTTGCAGTATTGCAGAAAATATTGCCTATGGTGATAACAGTAGGGAGGTACCATTTGATGAGATATGTGAAGTAGCTAAAGCAGCCAATATACACTCCTTCATTGAATCTTTACCAGATGTAAGTTCCTTTTCTAACATGTCCTTCATTGAATTCCTTTCTGTTGAAAGCACAATTCCTGATTTATTCATCATATTTCTATACCACCCATCTCACCTAAATGATTACTAAGATTACTTGTTATTATTATTCTACTATAAGAATTTTCACATTATTAAATCTGCATTCTAATGGTGGAAGAGTCTTCTAGGGTTGCTTCACTCTGCTAAATTCTTACTATGCATAAAAGTAGTTTTCGATCTATGACCACAACTGAGCTCACAATTTATGTTACTAAGCAAGACAAATGGAGTTTTGCTCCATTTTACATCGTTTCGTAACCACAGATTTAAGTGAATCATTGCAGTTGTTAAGTTAATAACATGGTTGCAAAGTGAATCTAGGTTCCCCATTGACTTTACTTGTCAGAAGGTCACAAAAAGTAATTACATGACTCTTGGACACTGCAACTATGAGCCAATTACCAAACAGTTGAATTTTGATCATATGGCCATGGGATGCTGCAATGGTTGTAAGAATGAAAAATGGTCATGTCACTTTTTCAGTACTGTTGTAACTTTGAATGGTCACTAAACATAAGGTTGTAAGTCAAGGACTATCTGTACACTAATATTTTCCCTAAATATTTCTACATAAATGTATATATGTTTTTACAAAAGTTCTAGACAACTTATAATTCTAAAACAATTAACACTTTTTTTTTAAAATTTGATTTATATGCCGCCCTTCTCCGGAGACTCAGGGCGGCTTACAATGCGTTAAGCAATAGCCTTCATACTTTTGTATATTTATACAAAGTCAGCTTATTGCCCCCACAAACTGGGTCCTCATTTCACCTACCTTAGAAAGGATGGAAGGCTGAGTCAACCTTGAGCCTTGGAGAGATTCGAACCAGCAGTAAATTGCAGGCAGCTGTGTTAATAACAGGGTGCGTAACCACTGTACTATCAAGGCTCCTTGGCACTTAAGTATCTGCACAATTGTTTACTCAAATCTAATCAGCCCAATTTATTGGGTCATCCTAGGGGAAAACTGTTTTCAGTTCCTTACTTTAGCTAGATGTTCCCCATATCTCTGCTATTACCAATTATCCCTGGTCAATACATTAGCAGGGGAAGTTGCAGTAATCTAATTGATGGATAACAGAGTTCAGGCTCCTGATTCAGGAAAGGTCACAAATATATAGCTGGCTGAATGTGTCCCTGGTCATGCCCACCGTTTCTTGCTTCAGCAAGATCCAGGAGAACTCTCAGAGTAAGCACTTGCTTCTTCAGAAGAAATGTCATCATATTCAGAGATAAAATTGGAATTATTTTGGAACAAGAGGCTTCTCCATAGAAAGAAGTTCCATCATGCTCAAATTCGATTAGGTTCTATTCAGTATAATTCTAAATCCTCACAGCTTCCAGGCATCAAAACAGGACTTGTACCAAATGTTCCACTCAGCTGGGACATATATAACTGAGAATTATAAATATACAATATTGATTATACCTCAGCATAATCATATGAGGTAAAGACAAATTCTGAGCACCCCACATGGCAAAGGGACCCATCCATCCCCACCAACATTTATTGTAATCATCTACCCAGGAAGGAATAGAGCCACGACAGAAGAGCAGCCTTGGTTCCCAACTAGGAAGCAATATATAAGGATACCATGGTATTGAAAGATCTTAGAAACTTCTCTCATACAAGTCCTGTCACAAAACATCTATGTCAGCATACAATGCACTTTCGTTTCATGCTTGAGCTTGAGCCCCTATAAAAAAGAATTCGTGTACAGGTAATCCTTGACTAACAACCACAATTGGGATAGGGATTTCAAGTAAATCATTGCATTTGTAAATTAAGGCACCCAAGTGACCACAGTTAATTATCACCAATTTTACAAAGTTAGTTAAATAAATCTATTCTCTCAAATGGATGTTCTTTGCCTGAAACTGGCAAAAAAATTGCAAATTCAGTTATGCTGCCATGGATGCTGCAATAAGTCATAAATGTGAGCCAATTGCCATGCACCTGAAATGCAATCATGTAACCATGGACGGGAGTGGGGGGAACATTTTATGTCAGCCAGAAATGCTTTTCAAGTCCATCACAACTTCAAAAGGTTGTTAAACCAGTCGGACGTCATGGATTACCTGTAATCTATTTTATCCAGAGTTCTTTGAACTTGATATACGCAGAAGGTTATTAAGAACTATGACTAACAACTGCCAGCTGAACTGGGAGTATTCTTTCATTTTCTCCAACTGCCATAAAATGATTGAAATGTCAGCTCACTACCTACAGACCCTTATTCTTGGTACATGGCTGTTTATATGACATTAGTAGGGTTAATTAATTAAGTTTTTTACCTCTTGATAAATTCAATTCTTGCAAAACTTGGAGCATAGGCAGACTACTAAGAGACCATATTTTAATTGAAATGTTCCTCTAAAAGAAAGACTACTACTTCAGAGAGAAAGAGAGAGAAAATGAAAGCAGGCATTTTACATGCAAAGAATCCTAGCTTGTTCATTGGCATATATAATTGAATTAATTGATACACCAATATTTATTGAAATATTTTTGATTATTTATAGAAATACAATACTGCTGTTGGTGACAAAGGAACTCAACTCTCTGGGGGCCAAAAGCAGCGCATCGCTATTGCCCGTGCTCTCATCCGCCAGCCAAAAATTCTGCTGTTGGATGAAGCAACTTCTGCCCTTGACACAGAAAGTGAAAAGGTAATTATTTTGTCACTGCAGAAAACAAAGGCTTTCAATTGGAAAGATTTCAGAATACAGCATATCATGAGGCAGACTATACCTAATAGTAAGCACATGAACAAAAGTCTCCATTTCAGTCACTGGTTATTTGAATTAAGTTGGAAATGTTCCTTCTTCTAGTTGTTGTTGGTGCTATTTAAAGAACTTGATGAGATGAAATAAGATAATTAAGATAACATCTATTATCATTTTTTACTGTGAGCACATTGGCACACATTAAAAATGAAATCTTGTTGCCTGTTCTCAAAAGAAAGTATATATCTACCCATACACATATATAACACATACATACATATATATATATATATATACCTGTATTTATACGTATATATACATCTGGAGGTTCTACTTACCTTTACTACCAGTTCACAATGGGAGCGGGTGTGCCTGCTTGCTTCGTTCGTGCTTGCGCACACTTCTGCACATGCGCAGATCACCAAATGTGATGTCAGGGTGGGTGGGCGGAGCTCCTGCCGTTTTTACTGCCGGTTCTCAAGAACTGGACAGACCACTGATATAGATATAGATATATATACATTTATACATATAATCTTATCTTATCTTATCTTATCTTATCTTATCTTATCTTATCTTATCTTATCTTATCTTATCTTATCTTACCTTACCTTACCTTACCTTACCTTACCTTACCTTACCTTACCTTACCTTACCTTACCTTACCTTACCTTACTGCCTATCGTATTTAATGAACGTAGGCAACTCATAACAACCAACAAAAATAAAAACTAAACAATGTTCTCATTTGGTGCCCAGCAACAACACTATTAGCCTTCAGACTCAACCTCCAGCCTAATCCAATGCTTGGCAGAAGAGGCAGATCTTCATGGCCTTTCAGAAGGCTAAAGGATATGGACCTCTTTAATCTCTGGTGGGGTCTTGCATAGAGATGGAGCATCTAAAGAAAAAATACCCTTCAAAGGTCCCATCTGACACAGCAACATTTAAGGGACGGGACCTGAGGCATGCCTATCCTATCAGACAGATATTAAGAACCAGTTTTAACTAGCATGGCAAATCCTGGCTAAGTGGTCTAAAAGTTTGCTTCAATATAAATCAGATTTTGTATTCATGGCTTCTAGCCACCAAGTAACAAAGCTACAGGGTCTCCTAAAGAGTTCATAACTAGAAAATTAACATCAATAATTCAAATTAAAGCATGAAGCTGTTTCAGAATTAGTTGCACATTAAGATCCTAAGGGTACATCTGGAAATACAGTTACAATGGAGTAATTTTTGTGAAACATCATAAGAATTAAATGCATATAGGATTGCATGTGCTTCAGTGTCCAATAGACTAAAGACTTTATTAAATTAATTTGAATTTTTAAATGGCAATTTTTCTAAAGAATCATGCAGAATTAGATATGTTAATAACTGTCTACATCTTGGATGAAAGTAACTCTAATCATGCAAATATATGCTGCAATAAAATAGTTAACAGTTAAAGATGATACAAGATTGTCCTTTCTTTTATGATTGCTCATTATATAATTAATGCAATAGTTCATTTTAACAATGAACGGTTATAATCAAAATGTACATATTCTCAGAGAATAGGACTTTTTTATTTATTAAAATATTTTTTTTTCTTTTCAATAGGTTGTTCAGGAGGCCCTGGAAAAAGCCAGACAAGGTCGTACCTGCATTATAATAGCTCATCGCTTATCAACAGTGCAGAATGCTGACAGTATAGCTGTTATCCAGGATGGGAAAATCATGGAACAAGGAACACATCAGCAGCTACTAGCTCAAAAAGGAATTTATTATTCACTAGTCAATGTACATGCAGGAACAGCTCATGTATAAATAAGAAAATGAACATTACTTGAATTAATTTGATGGATGGATTATGTGGCATTAAGTTGGGATTGACTCTTAACGACTGTACAGATAGATTTTCACCAGGATGATCTGTCCCCAGTTTGGTCTTTCAGGTTTTTCATAGGTGCATTGTTTGCTACAGTAATTGAAAACATCTGTCTTGCTGCTGGTTGCCTTTGTCAGGTTCTTAAAGACCAAGAAGGATACATGGAATTACTTTTGAGTAGTTTCTTTTATTGTTCCTCATCTATAGGCAGAAATCTTGCCAAAGTAAAGCAAATATTTACATCACCATAGATATACTCTGGGAATTGCTGGGGAGGAACTGTTTTAACTCTTCCTCCTGATCAGACTTCCCATGCTTTGCTGACTCTTTGCCTTCTGGAATGCAGCCCCTCCTTCCTGGGAATCCAGATTACATTCCACCACAGTCCTTCTTTACTTCTACCTTTTCCGGCATTATAGACTTTTTCATAGAACTAGGTCTTCATATAATGTACCCAAACCTGATCATTTGTTTGTGCCTTGAGAAAGAACTCTATTGATTTCTTTCACAATCCAATTCTTTTCTATTCATGATATTCTCAGGAATTTTCTCCAACACCAAAGTTCAAAAACATCAAAATTCTTTTTATCTTCTTCTTCAAAGTCCAACGTTCACATCCATAGAGTGTTATAGAGAAAATATGGTCTGCACATTTCTGATTGTTTCATTGTTATTCTAGCAAATGCTAGTCTAAATAGTATTTCTTGGCTGTTGGTTCTTTTATAGTTGAGAAACAATCCTAAAAGTGAGACGTTGTCACCCCTTTACTATTTTTCCTGCAATATGCAGTATATTCCACAAATCAGTTCAATAAATAAGGGAAGGATACACAATTTTTACTCACTCACTCCTTTGCCAACCTGGAGCCAGTCTGTTTCATCATGTTATCTCCAGACTGTGGGTTCCCAACCAATATTTGCAGCAACTAACAAGTACAGAAGATGCTATTCACATTCTTATATTAAGCAAGATGGGCCAATTTTTAAGAAGAATCACCAACATTAAACATCTGTTTTGAGTCAGGTTCTGCATTCCAGCTCTCTTTGCTTATTAGTTTCAGCTGGCTAAACTGAGCACTTTGTATCTTGACAGCTGTCAAGTTGTCTTGTATGATGACTTCAAGAATTTTATCACCATCATTTTCCCTATGAAGTGACCATACAATGCAAAATGACATACTTCAGGTTTTAAATATACATCTAGAGCTTGAAAACTAACACTTGTATTTTGGAGGAGGTAAAGAGATATGACAGACAAGCTTTAAAAACAATTATTGTTTCCAGTGAAAAGAAAGAGTTGTTAATATCTGCCGAATGTCATTAAATAAAGTTTCAATAACCATTGGGAGTTGAGTCATTTCTATGAATATACAGTTTTAAAAAATGTTTTAATGCCTTTAAAGGAGGGATATTTGGAATCACAACCTGTTGTGACATTAAGGGCTTGATTAACCAGTTCTGGATTAACGCCTGGGTAGATTCCACAATGGATGTCCCCCTTATTGTCATCATAACTAACAAAGTAGGTGCTGCTAAGGCCCCACCATGATATTCCCTATATTGTGGTACACCTGCCCCTGCACTTTGAATATTGGCATAAAATTTCTCTCCTTCACCTTTCTGGCTCCAAAAGACATCATTTGGAAGCATCCATTGTACTTCCGGGCAGCAGAAAGTGCTCTGCCATTGGATGCTGGTGGGTGAGAAGGCTGTGTAAGGGTTCAGGGGAGGGAGATGGACTTTACTGTCACTGCAGCACATCCCGGGAGTCTCATCCTGCCACTTCAGGGCACAGCACCAGGCACAGGATAGCCGAGGTCTGAGATGAACAAACTTTCCCTGGAGTAATCAATCTGAAGTTCATATTTAAAACCAGACAAATACTTATTAGTCCAAGGCATTGATCTGATTTGTGATATCTTTTCATTGTATTTGGCTATAGCTGCCTGATTAACGTAGGGGTTATTAAATGCATACTTTTTTACAACCTCTCTATTGACTTCAAGATGACTTTGACAATACTTTTTTGCAGCTTCCCTTACTTGTGTTTTCCTAATTGTATCTGTAAATCTTTTCCTGTGTTTTCCTGTGTTCCCTCTTTTCCCTTTAACTGGTGTTACAGTAGAAGGAACAGATTTGTCTGAACTGAGAAGGTCAGTATAAGAAGTGATTTGGGGCTGGGACACTATGCAAGAGAAATTCAGTTCACAATCCTTTGCTTCAGTGGTGGTTGGTGATTGAAACTCATAAGGGAATATCTCTCCTGCCACCTTGAGTTCAGAAGAAGTTCCATAGGTGGAAGGCGTAGAAATTTTGGTGAGATAGCGATGTTTAGTACTGTAAGGAGCCCCAGACCGCTCCTGAGTAAAGGAGTGGAACATCTACCAGATTGAACTGGTGTAACGGAATGTGAGGCAACTGGCAGTTCGAATAGAGTTCTTTTCAGGTAGGAAGGGGTTAATATAAGGCAGCTGGCAGTTGGAACAGTTCTTTTCAGGTGGGGAGGGGGAGTAGAATGTCTAGCACCTTAGAACCAGAGCAAGTTAATATAAGGCAACTGGCAGTTGGAACAGAGTTCCTTTCAAGTGGGGAGGGGGAATAGAACGTCTAACTCCTTAGCATCAGAGTGTGTGAATATAATACTGTATATGAAATACTAATGAGCTGATGGTCATTTTGAAAAATCCTTTTTAACAAGCACCTAGAAGCCAAGAGGAACATACATGCCCCATTTCAGGTTTGTAGGCTTTACCGTTCTGGAGATTTCGTGATTAGTGATATTTGGCATATATATATTCCTCTCCCCAATATATATATATAGGTGTACTCACTTATAACCTAATTTTCCTTTTGGTACCCACTGAGATACACACAATTAGCTCTCCTCACTTACTATTTAAAATGACTAGGAACGTATTTTGAGATAGCTGGAGATCTGACCTTAGGCTAGGGCTAGACTTCTATGTCACTGCATGTCGGGAACATATGCATCTGTCCTTTGGACATAGTTTCATAGCTCTTCCATGTATATTTCTGTGAATGTTAATATTTTGGCTAGGGGGTGCTAAAAAAAGAAAGCAAAGAAAATATAGAAGACAGCAGGAAATAGAAATCAGCAAAGGCAATTTCTTTGTGAAAAGCCAGGTCCCTGCTTTTTGTTTCCATTTGTTTTTTAGCTTGACAAACTTGTCTCATAGTTGCTTCCACTTTCCTTTGCATCTATCTGGGTCTACCTCCAAAGTTGTTCTAATTTCCTTCCTTGAATTGGCTGTTACTCCTTATTTTTTGTAGTATTTATCTATTACATCATACAAATGTTTGTATCTCTCATTTTGTCAGCAAGACTATCTAACTACTCCATTTGTTGTATGAATGTGCCTTGCCTTCTACCTACCTTCCAAGAGTCAGACCAATCAATCAGCATACAGGATGTGCATCTCCACACAACACATACTTGAGATTTGGGAGGCATGTGTGTCAGATCATCTGTAACCATCTTCTGCAACCTATGCTTGCCTTTCAACTTTGCAGCATAGGATGCATCGATACCTACGCGCAGTTGCAGACAAGTCTAAATCAAGCTTTAATCAATGGGAAACTTTATATCACACATCTCTCGGTGAGATACAGTAATAATGTCCACAGAATGGAGGATGAGTGAATAATCCATACTAAATAATGAGACAATAGACAAAGAATCCTATATTAAGGATTCTTAAAATAGACTAGCTTTAGCTTTGCTGAGCACAATATAGTTTAGTAACAGTAATTTCATAAAGAAAGATAAAGGAAAGATAAGGGCAATGCAGAGAAAGAGGGAAGAGGAGCTTTGCCTTCCAAGTCAGGTTTCAAGGCAAAGCAGCTCCCTCTGCATAGCCCTTTTAACACTTAACCCTTCATTATCTGTTTTCATCTCACTGCACCACACTCCTGTTTCTCCCTCTTCCATTTAAAACTTTTTTTCACAAGGAATTGTAGAAACTGCAAAGCACAAGCTGTGGCTCAGCATCCTGTTTTGAATTAAAGAGGCTATTAAAAAAGGCAAAAAGTGGGGAAAATGCTGCTTTGCCGAGATCAGTTTACAAACAACCGTTCCATGTGACCCAATAAGAATGGCCCACAATACTGAGTTCTGCAGATCTCCGGAAAGTAAGCAAGGCATTGTGAGGAGTGGAAATGGCTGTGGGGATCCCAAGAGCAGAAAGCAGAGCATGGGGGTATCTCAGGGTGGGGTGGGGGGGTGGGGAGGCATCCCTGAGGTTCCCCATGCACGTTTACAATGTCTGCATTCACCCCTACATTTGTTTAATGTATGCATTGGGGTAATCCAGGATGAGGACTTTCACTTAACGAGTTTCAATTAAGGTCCTCCTGCCTTATGACTGAATGGGCATGTTCCATTACTGTCGTAAGTTGATCCTGATCTTCCTGCTGATTACCACAGATGCCCAAACCAACCTACATTGCCATCATTGAACAACTGAATTCATATTAGGACTCATTCTATGTTAAGCTAAAGATACAGGAAGATGGTGAAAAAAGAGGTATTCATCTGTATATTTATAATTATTGGTATGCTTTAATATGTGCATTTATTCTAGATGTACTGTGTATCCACAATGCATGTGGCCAAACAAGATGTTAGTGAATTTCATCAGGTGAAATTCCAAGGAATACTTTGTGGAAGACGATGTGTGGCAGATTGTGAGGATTATAATTTGTTGGGTTAATTGGACTTGTATTTAAGAGTTTATTATTATTATTTACCCTTTTCACCCTTCATGAGAAAATTATTTTTCTCCTAAAAAAGTCACTCCACAGAACAAAGGATTGCATAGCTTGAAGCATGCTACTAACCACTGCACAATGTTTTGCTTCTAACAATGTTAATCAATTAACCCTTCTTCCTAAATATGTTTTCCTTATGATGTTACAAATAGACAAAAGGTATGGTTATAAGCAACAACTGTAAACAGTTTCCAATTGCAAAAGTTTCCTGGAAAAGCTGGTAAGTGATAATATCAAAATCCTTTAAACAGAGCAAACATAAGAATTAAACACTTCAAATGGTAAACACACACAAGCAAACACAAAAATACAAAACACCAACACAAAAGAAGATGACCCAGATTGGATCTTACACACAAGCAAACACAAAACTCAATTAACACAATATAAACATAATTATAATGCTCACAATTCAAATGAAGAGAATTCAATCTACATTGTTAATTTCTGAGTCAACATGGATACAAACTTACACCCTTCAGGTGTCACACACTAGAATCAACATGCACTTCAAACCCACACCAAGTACCAGTCTACCTATAAAACAATCCCTCTATGCTCCATTTTCTCTGTAGCTAACCCCTCAGGCAAACCTCTTTGCTTTGGAGAATAAATAAATATTTATTCATTTATTCATAAATCTTTATTTATTCCCAAATAAATGTCTGGATTTCATTTTGATTTGCTCCTGCACAACTCTGGCTCAAGTTGGAACCCCAAATTATTTTTCTGACATTTTAAATCAAATCCAGACAAAACTTGTTCTACAATTTTGTAACAGATGCTTAAAACATCTGTTTATTAACAGATAGTTAATATAGTTTATTATCTTATTTTAAACACATTGCACCATGAAAACACCTTTGCACTGTTACAAAATGAAGTATTTTTCTTAAATCTTAAATTAAGCATGAGATGAAATATATTTAAATATTTTATGTAGGTGGGGGATGCAAAAATAGAAAGCAAGACTTACCAGATTCTAAACTACTGGCCAGTTAAGAAATAGCTTTCTTTTTTATTTCTTCTTGGTCCATACTTTCAAGAAATACAGATATTAAAATAAAAGAAGTGTGGTTGTCTATTTATAGAATATTTTTTACTTTTACAAATACTTCTCATCGTATAATGTTAACAAGTATTAAATTGATTCAGTGCAATTCTTATTTTTAATATTATATTACTGAAATTTTAGATATCCTTGTGCCAAATGCTATTTGCAGCTTTCTGATTATTTTGTTTGACAGATACAATGAAACACCACTATATCTTTAAAATATGTAAACAAAGGGTGGTGGGGACATGGTAGAACAGAGGTTTAATGACATTGGATGTACTGAGCAATTGGAGCACTCCAATGGTTCCAGCCCAGCTCCCGTCTCTTTTCCATAGCTGCTGCCCACCTAGCATTTAGAAAGTATTGTTTGCAAGTAGATAGATAGGTACTACTACCATTACCAGAAAATGCTGGGTGCATTCTGTGTGAGGAGCTGGAACCTGCGTTGGATTTCCCGGACATGATTGGCAGAAGTTTGGTGGAAGAAAAGCCCTGAG